AGTTTGAAGATGGTGTTGCTGGAACAGAGGAGAGGTGAGTAAATCTCTATAATTTACTTTAGTGTATCTTTGTGATGTATGATGTATTCATCTTATATGGGAGCGATTTCAGGTAAATCATTTTTTTTTAATTACAGGTTCACTTTAAGAGCATTTTGGGAGATGTAGTCCACACCATCTGGAGTGCTGAAGGCTGCCTACCATTGAGAAATACACCTAGAGAAGGGTTTGTCTGTATTGTTATAGGTAACATTTATTGGCTCACTTACAAGCAGAATAATAATTCTATAAAAATTATAATTTATTTATTTTCTTCCTCTTTAGTGTCAGTAGTCCGTGTTGATATGACTTGGTATAGGTATGGAGAACTAGAAATGTTCAGGATCTCAGTTAATGAAAATAAAGATAAAGAATGTCAGTGCTTTGTGTGTTAGAAACGTATAGCTTGCCGGGAGGAATCAGATGTTTGCTGATAAATAAAAGCAGGCTGACAGGACTTGTATTGTCTAGAAAAACTCCGGCAAGAACTAGATGCTTAAGCAGAGTAAATGTCAGAGGACACACATACACCTACTTAGAGGTTAAAAATGCATTTATCGACATTGACCATAGAGCTCTGATTCAAAAAACACTTCAATGCACTAGCTGGCAATACTTCGTGGGCAGCCTCCAATCAGAATCTAATGATAGGGAGGAATGGAGCACTAGGACACGGCTCTCAATGGGGATACTACCTCATCCTCTTTTCCTAACTTGGGGTATATATTTTACCAAGGGACCGAACATGTTCAACCTGCCTGCATTATCCTTCCTGAACTGGCACATGGTTACTGTTTGTATTTATTTCAACAATTTCTCTGACATCTCCCTTATGGGGTCCCCACCTTCAAATAATAAAAAAATAAAATGATAAAAAATAAATAAATAAATATATATATATATATATAATGAATGACACTTTATTTTTGTTCCTTCTTTAGTTTATCTTGTTTAATTGGAATTGGTCATCTAGGGTTTTCGGTAATGTAATCTCGATACCCAAACTGCTACCGACACTGAATAATTTCCAATAAAAATGTTTGAATAATAAAAATGCATTTATTTATATAATATATGTTTTTCTTCTTTTTATACTGTATTATTTGTTAATGATTTTAGGCTTTTCTCAACGGGGAATAGTATGATTGTCTTTTACACATATGTGGTTAACTTCATACTGAACCGGTGAAGGGCAATGAGAGGTAAAGAGTTGCTGTCTATCGTTTGTGCCATTTGAGCATGTGTTAAACTTTTCAGGTATCTCACCAGATATCCCACCATTAGCTACACACCTACAGATCACTCTAATACACTGAAAACTGTAGCAGACCACCTGGTAACCCGACCGGTTACCTCCGCTAATTCCCTTCCTTCGGCTGATCAGGAACCATTTCAAATACAAAGAGACCCATTTCCCCCCAATAACTGGATGAAACACAGTTCTAGAGGTATAACTCTGATGATCTTTATTGAAAACGGGCTTCTTTTATGCACAGGTTCTCCATTCCATTCAGAATGGAGTCCCAGGCTGTCCCAGGCTGGTGGGGGATGGCTTACAGCAGATAACCATTTCCCGCTATAGGAGATATCAACTGGACAATAGTTATACAAATTAAAACATAGTACATACAGGGGGACACTTAGGGGCTCTGTGGGAAGGAAATGGGTATCACATATCAAGCACATATCACTGGATAGCCCCGGGTCCCATTTAGGATCCCTGCAAATAGTGGGGCTATCGGATGTACAGAGCCTAAGAAATCATTGTCTAAAGTCTGGGGTTCGAGGCTCTGTACATCCCCAAAATTAGTTCCATGGAGTTGCTTGGTTTAGTCCGGTGAATTCAAACTTCGCGTCTAAACCAAGCAACAACCAATCAGCTGAAAGGGCGCAAACCATATCGTGCCAATTAGTGCTCGGGGAGGAGAGGAGTTTCGTGGCCCAATCCGAAGAAAGGGCGTGAAACTCGGTTGCACCAATCGGCCCTCGGGGAGAAGAGGGGTTTCACCGCCCAATCAGACGAAAGGGCATGAAACCCCGTTTGGAACTTGCTCCTTCTCTGATTGGTCGCCTGCGCACCGCAGGGACCAATCAGTGCTCTCTCGTGTCGATCAATCAGGAGAATGTCACAAAGCCAGTTTGAATGGGAGCGCATTCTTCTATTGGTCGGCACGGACTTCCAGGCGGCCAGCGGGAACTCTGCGGCTGTGAAGCCGACTCACAGCCCCAGGGTCCCTGCTGGAGCTCATGTCTCTCCCCGGCGGCTGCCTTCACTGAGGCAGACCCCGGGGATAGCACTCCTTGGGTAGCTACGAGCCTGGCCTCGCAGCCCCCGGCTAGGGGAACAATGATTATGGCTCCTTTAGGAGTAGGTTAGGGTGTTCCGGACCACCAGTACCCCAGAAGATATCCCCACCAACATCAGGGACCCATCCCTGGAGTCCCGGTGTGAAGCCCCTGCAAGGGAAGTGTCCCTCTTCGGGATCAGAACGCTCCCTGCGATAGTCACACAGGGGAATGCTCCCCCTGGTGACCACCCAGGGGAGCGCTCATTAATTACTTCCCTTGCAGTTTCACACCTATGTTGCAAGTGCAAAAATTATGATAAGGCACCAGAATGGTCCTTGTTTGGGAGGCGCAAGGGCTCCGTGCACCGGAGCGCCCCTGTGCGGTCAAAAGACATATTACACAGTTAAAATAAAACTACATGGAGGAACACATATTTTATAATAGGGAATCTACGAATATAGAAGAGGGCAATTCACGGACAGCCAGCGGTCCCGCCACAGAAACCTTTTAGGTCTCTACCTTACTCGGAGAACACATGCAAACATTGGATTATTCACTGAATTTCAAATTTTATGTTTAGAACAGCCGAACTAGAAACATTCTCTAAATAGCTAGGCTTTCAGATCAGCTACTCTGACCTTAAATTTGTATTCAACTTAGAATTCTTTAAATTTGGAATTTTCACTGTAGAAAATAACTGTATCAATCTACATCAGCATGGATCTACTCACAACAGTAGCAAAATAAAGATTCTTACTTTGACTATCGATTATTAGAAATAGAAATTAACTTAATGTGATATGGAAATGAGTATTGGCATATTTTATATACTAAATGGCAGGTGCATTGAAACTGCATAAGTAAGAGAAATCAAGATCTGTATTGATGGTCCTACTTACACGTAGCTTGCAATATTTGTGTCTGAAAGCTGCTGGAGTAATGAGGTGTGAATTGTACATGTGTAGCCTCCATCAGTATGACCTACATAGTATAATGGAGCACCAACAGCCTAGGAGAAACAGTGCACATGACATTCATAACACACCAGTTGTCATTGGTGGCTATAGGGATATGGTTTACAGAATTTGTCTATTTTCACGCACAGGGTCACTTGTAAACACAAGGACATCCGACACTCATAAAAGTCTGGCAAACTGTGTGTGTTGTGTTTGTGTGGTTGGTTGGCTGTATGTATGTAATGTGTGTTCTGTGTCTGATGTCTGTGGGTAGTTGGCTATGTTGATGTGTGTTGTGCATATGTATTATGTGTGTTGCTATGAGTGATGTGAATGGCTGTCTGTATCTAGTTTTACTGTATTGTGTGTGATGAGGTTGTTAGTTGTGTCATGCCGCCCCACTCATTTTTTTTAAAATAAATATAGATTTTTTATTGCCCCCTTTCCTGCTTAGTTTTGATATTTCTGATTCACTAGGATGTGTGCCCGCTCCCTGGTGGTTCCTTGTGGTAGGCACCTCTGTCAGGGGTAGATCACTGTAAATGGTCCTTCCAGGATCATAATGAAACACATACAGTGACCAGTTCTCAGACACCAATGAGGAAGCAGAGGAAAATCTTTTGATTTCCTTGCCTGCTCACGGAGTGACACTCCAGGTGCATTAGGGAGGGTATTCCTGAGCACAACAAGCACACACATCTATAGCATGTAGCGTCCAATGTTTGAATGTATGTAAATATACCATATTTCAGGATTGTTCACAATGCACTGTCCTGTAAATTGAGTTGTGACGTGGAACTGTCACCGTCTGGGGATTTTGCCTAATTTTTAAAGACCTGCTACTGTGACAGCGCCGCTGGAGGTCTGGTGGGGGCAGGCGTAGGTGAGTTTAACCTACCTAAACCTGTCCCATCCTCTTCCTGCCCCTGGTGCTTCAGTGCCAGGAGCTGTCACTGCTGTACTGTCATGCATGCGCAAGAGTACAGCATTGGTGATGACTGAGTGATTGACAGTTGTTAACAGCGGCAACACCACCCAGTGTCTACTGTAGGAAAAATACTAAGACAAAGTTGTCCCTACTTTTATCTTTTGACTGGGTTGTTATTTCAGTAAAATTCCACCACGGTCAATATGAGTATTTCATAAAGATTTTATATTTATGAAAAACTTAATTTGCTGGGTGGGAAGGGTGGCAGTGCCGCTTTAACCTATCGATTTACAGATGGGTTATACACTCAAATAAAAAATTTTGTGAATTAAATCCAAATTGCAAAACTAAGGCTAAAATGAAAAGTTGTGACTATAGCTGTGTTGTCAACTTTTTTTATGGAGCAGTTATTTTAGTCGAAATGAACCAAACCGAAAACACTGGAGAATAGTTCAATTTAGAATATTTCAGCACAAAATTCAAAATTCACATTGAGGTCTATTACCTGAACCCCCAAATTCCATAAAAATCAGATTTAAAAAAAGCCAAATCTTCCAACTTTCACTACATTTTATTTATTACAATTCGTGGTTTATTGAATAAACCCCCTTTTTAAAGTCACTTTGAACTTCACCCTATTAGTCCCATGCTGCTAGCATTGCTATCTGTGAGTGAAGACAGACAGACAGACAGGGATGGCCTAACACAGTGACCACGCCCCCCAGGCGGGCGCTTCCGGTGATGTCACTGACCGGTCGCTGAAAGGGAAAAAAAAAAAAAAACAAGGAAAAAAAAAACCAAGATGGCGGCGAAGTGTGATCGAGCTTAGATTGGAACACAGTGGAGGAGAGGGTTCTATCGCATTACTGGCGTTGAATCCTATTTAGTGCAGGTATGTATGGAGCTCTGACACTAAAGGTGGCCTTCAATGTGAATTTATAATAAAATACAGATTTTAATAGGGGCTATATGGGGGAGGTCAGCAGCAGAGTCTTCTAATATTCACATTACAGTCAGTGCCTATTAAACTGAACAAGGAGACTCATTGTATGTGTTTATAGTATCATGGTAGAGTGATACTGAATGGGGGGGAGGACTACCCTTCTCATTATGCTCAGGCAGACTAAAACCTGGCATCATGGGATATGTAGTTCTTGGTAAGGATGTTTAGCCATCCCTGTGTATATGACAGCTAGTGCAAACCTCTGGTTGTAATAATAATAATAATCATCAGTTTTCAGAATAAGCACCAGTTGTAATTTTTTACAGAAGTATTTTTTTTTGTTCTTTGTCTCTATGTACTATAGAGTCTTGCTCAGTTACCTCCTTAATTCCCTTTACATTTTACTAGTGGCTGCAACTCTGTTGACTTCCTTTAACCATCACTTGCAAATTCCCCATGCAGCCTCTTGTCTCAAATCCCCATACTATGCTTTTAGATTGTAAGCTCACGGGCTATCTAACTGAGCACGTTGTTTAAACCATTAAGGACCAAACTTCTGCAATAGAAGGGAATCATGACATGTCATGTGTCCTTAAGGGGTTAAAAGAGCTGCAGTGGAAAGATCTCCGCTTACGGAAAGGGCCCTCTCTTTACATTTTGTATTTGTCTATGTATATTGTATGTCCTCCCTTGATTGTGCAGTGTTGCGAGATATTTTGACGCTTTATAAACGCCAGCGTTAAGTAAAAAAATATAGGGCTAATAGTTTTCCAACATGGTAGTGATATCCTAACAGTTAAGTTGTAGTTAAATTTATGCTTGTTGAACATACATTTGGCTGTTATTTGTACAGGGATTATAGAATCATGTTAGACAGGGTTAACAGGGTTTTGCTTTTAAGGTTCACCCATAAAGTAAGCATTGATATTATTGCATCCCAGTTGTACTTGCATGAAGTATGTTTTTTTTTGTTTTGTTTTGTTTTTTAAATACCTCAGTATATTGTGATTCTTAGCTCTTCTCTCAGGTTTATTTGCCATCGGAAATTGTAGAGAATTTGCAAGGTAATTGTAAACTAGACAGGCTGGTAAATAGGTGAATTGTAGAATTCCCAACATTTCCAAGTTTAGGGGATAACAATTTTCAGTTGATTTAAACAATTGACTAAACTTTTGTTTTTAATTACAGGAACAAGCAGTAAATCGTCTCTGGGTGATTTTTTTTTATTTTTTTAATTTTTTTTTTTTTATTCTTCACTTCTTCAAGATGAATTACAGAATTAGTTTTTTACACGCTGAGTGAACGAGGAGTCGTTAACACCATGGAGAAGAAACGCAGAAAGAAATGAAAGCCATACACCCTGGTTGATGGCACAAAGACGCTGATATGTGGACTTCTGTTAATCCTTGAAACCTACTTTATTGCTCTTCTGGCTGGACAGTGGTGGGCAAAGACCGCAGGAAGCAAATCTGGTTTTTGTTTACTCACAGGCTGTGACTTAACCTTGTGAATTTAAAACCATACTTTTTGAACATGAGGTTTGCAAACTTCTGGCTGCAGCTGGTAGTGATTTTCTTGTGCCTGAAAAAGCACCAGAGTACTAAACCAGCAAATTCATCATATGAGCCCGGGACCTGTGGTGGCTGCTCACATCTCACTCTTAAAGTAGAGTTCTCGTCTAAGGTAGTGGAAAATGGTAAGCTAAATTAAGTGGTGTTCGGGCATTTCCTGCTGTACTCAAAACTAATATTTCAAGATGTTGGGGACAGAAGCATAATTTATTGTTTAAACATGAAAGTATGTGTATGCTCTGAATATTTGGTCTGTAGAAATGCATACATAATCTCTAAAGCCACCTTGCACAGTGTCCACAATTAATTGATTGACTCCAACTACCATAAATAGTTTTGCCAGACTGTATTGGAACTCTCGTCCAATAACAAATGGAAGGTCTAACATTGACACCCTTGGTCATGACACTTCTAAAATACAGATTTTTCTAAAGATATGAAGGGTTGTTTACCAAAGTGAGAACATTAAAAGTAAATGTAAAATTTTAGGCCAGAGTAGCTGAACTGAAAGCGAAGCTATTTTGGAGGATTTTTCCAGTTCGGCTATTTTGACCTTAAATTTGCAATTCACCGTTTAGTGGATAGCCCTGATGGTGTTTCTTACCTTGTAATGTTGTTCTTTGCAGGTCTGTCCTATATTTAGTACTTTCATTTACTTGCTGACTTTGGCAGAATATGCACACTTTACAGTATTTTAAATCTCTGTATAAACAAAAACATATTTATATATGTAGCTTTCACCAGTCTACAGAAAAGTGTAGCTATTGGTATTCATTTTATTGTCTGTCACAAAGAATGGCTAAGATGATTTTGCCAGGTTTCAAACTTGACATACTTGAACCACTGAGCTATATCCCCTGCATATATAATAAACTCCTGCCTTGCATTCCAAAAGATATTAGCAATTGCTAATGTTAGTGTGCGCTCATTCCTAGCTTTACTGAGATATCTAGAACAGAGAGGTTCTTGGCTAACTATTCTTGGTGATCAGCAGAAAGTTTTTATGACCGTGTTAAGTAAATGATACAGGATGGTGGTGAGATGCACTTATACACCACTGGTCTAGAAATGCTTTTTATTTTCCACAAATCGTAGGGTGAAATACAGGACATATAATATAGCAATATTGCTTGTTTGCCACTTTTCACCAAATGACCAAAGAAAATTAAGAGAGCTAAAAATTAGTTTCACTTGTGTTTGAATGATTCTTTTGAACATGGGCAAATATGTAATTTGATTTTCCTATATTAAAGGAACACTCCAAGGACCATAACCAAACGTTCAAATGAATACACACACACACACGTGTTAATTTGGCATACTGAAAGGGCCACTTGACCATCTGTGGTTTTTGTTCAGACTGGATATCTTCAGATTCAGACTGTTGCTTATTACGCAACTCACCAAGCAACTTACTTATCAGAAATATTTGCATTTTCATTTAACTCTGGGAAACGTTCTCTCGTCCACAATGTAAATTATCTTTGATACTTTCTTTCATATGCTTTACTACTTAACTGATTACAGCACATACTAGAAAATTTACTTTTCTGCGTCACTTATAAAGTAATGGTAATGAAGTCCTTAGCTCTTTAATTCACTTGAAGGTACAGTGGCGCATTCTTCATTCTGCAAAGCTCACAACAGAATTTAAATGTATGTGACGTGCAAGTCACAACATGTTTTAACTTTTCTGGAGTAAGGAAATTATTAGGAATTGGGATTTCTTATTTTACTGAAATTAACATAACTCCTGATCCCATTGGCATTCCATCTTCAAATTTGGTACAGTTAAAGAGGAATGCTATATTTAAAATCTATATTTAAAAAAAAAGATTAAGTTGCCACATTATTGATTACAACTGCTTAAACATAGCAATAAGTAATATCTCCTCTGAAAGAGCTCTTCTTGAAATTTCCAAAGATGCCTCAATCACTCCTATAGGTACCCTGGTTACTGAAATATGCAATGCGTTCCAGAGGAATCGCAATGTTTACATTTTGCTTAATCTTGCCCCTATTGACTGTCAGACTGACCGTCTCTTTAAGGTCTTCATGTTAGAATGTTTGGAGTCATCATGCTGTGCCTTATGATGCCAAATACGGCTGTTAGAGAAGCATTGAATTGGTCATGTGCTGTGATTCTTGTGCATCTTTTGTAGGTGCTTTTCTATGTGCCTGAGTAACTGGCGCAAAGAGACTGGATTACATGTGAGCTTAAAGGGACACTTCACTGACCAAATACAAAACCACTTTTTTAGTAGATCTAAATCCAATGAAAACATGCATGTATATAATTATGATTTTTTTGGGGGGTTATATCTAAAGGCGATATCTTGTCTGCAGCCTTTGCAAATGCCCCCCCTTCTCCCGAAGGCTTTCTGTGGCTGTTAGGGGACCAATTTTCTCATTGACAGCCCTGAGGTTATAACCAGGTTAATGCCAAATTGCCAGTTTTTGTAAAATAAGAGGACCCACTCTTCACACATAAAGCACTTCAGCAAGCTGGACTCTTTTAAAGACTTTAAAATCATAAAGGAAACTTTTTTAAACATATATTTGTTTTAAAGTTTGATTAGTCCTTTAAGCAAACCATTACTAATGAACATATACAATATAATAGCTTATATACGCACAAATACATTGATACAAAGCAACCACAGTAAAAATAACACCAGCAGAATACGGCAGCATACAGACCTCAATTTAAAAAAAAAAAAAAAATAGGACCGGCACGCTACGGGACATCACAATCCTATATCGGCCCAGTGCTGCTAAAAGGTTGCCTACCGCTGGTGTAGGGATTGACTTACTACCGTATATACTCAAGTATAAGACGAGTTTTCCGGCACTTTTTTGTGTGCTGAAAACCCCCCACTCGTCTTATACTCGAGTCAATGTCTGTATTATGGCACTTACATTGCCATAATACAGACAAGGACAGCCGGGCTCATTACAAGCACGGCGGTCCTGTTGGGGGCTGGCAGAGAGCTGTAACTTACCTTTCCTGCAGCTCCTGTCAGCTCCCTTCTCTCTCCTCTGTTCCGGTCAGCCCCACTGCAAGTCTCGCGAGAGCCGCGGGGTCGGAGCGTTGCCACGGGTTGCCGTGGCAACGCTCCGTGCGGCACTCACACCGCGAAACTTGCAGTGGGAGCTGACCGGATTGGAGGAGAGAGAAGGGAGCTGACAGGAGCTGCAGGAAAGGTAAGTTACAGCTCTCTGCCAGCCCCCCTCCTACACAGCCCATGCCACTAGACCACCAGGGAGTGAGAGCCCCCCTCCCTGCCATGTATCAAGCAGGGAGGGGGGACAAAGAAAATAGAAATCAAAATTTAAATAATACAAGGCTCTGCATCACATACACACACTGCACTCATACACACACACACTGTAAATATTCAATTAATATAATTTTTTGGGGATCTAATTTTATTTAGAAATGTACCAGTAGCTGCTGCATTTCCCACCCTAGTCTTATACTCGAGTCAATAAGTTTTCCCAGTTTTTGGGGGTAAAATTAGGGGTCTCGACTTATATTCGGGTCGACTTATACTCTAGTATATACGATATTAGTGACTCAGCTTACTGTCCTGCTTTAAAAAAATATTCTAACCTTTTATAATGTGTATTTCAATGTGCCTACTCTACAGGTTTTGATAGCAATGAGTAGATAAGCATATTTTAGAGACACATAGTACCTTGTTGATAGTTTTAATTTTTATTTTCTTTCTCAGAGTACATTGTGGCATTCAATGGATACTTCTCTGCTACTGCTCGCAGTAAGTTTATTTCCACTGCACTGAAGAGCACAGGCATTGAAGACTGGAGAATTCTACCTAGAAATAACCCTGCCAGCAATTACCCAAGTGACTTCGAACTCATTGAAATCAAGAGTGGACAGGAAGATGGAGTGCTAACTCTGGAAAATCACCCTAATATTAAGCGTGTGACACCCCAAAAACAAGTCTTCCGTTCTCTCAAGTTTGTGGACAGTAAGTGTGAATAAATATTTAAATTTCTTCTTAAGGGCTGGTGTTGGCCTTTTGTAAACAAAGAAAAATTAAAAGCAATTAGACATCTTCTATATTTGTTATATGATCACCACACTGCCCAAATTAAAAAAATGCCAATGAAAGCACATGTGCATTTATTTTCATTGTGGCATATCTAAAAATAGTTTGCGAAATCTGCAGATCTCTTGTCTGCAGCCACTGCAATCCATCCCCTCCTTCCCCAGCCCAGACTTTTTGTGGCTATCTGACCACAGACTTCCCAGTGGAGCTCACTGTGAAGTTTTTCCAAGGCAGGTACTTGGAGGAATTGCCTGCCTCTTAAAGGATCACTGCACTGCCAAAATACAAATGAAATAAAAATCACTGTTTAAAATATATATCACAAATGAAAACTTGCATGCATTTAATTATGTATTTTTTTTGTTTTATTTTTTTCATTGGGGCTATATCTAAAAACAGCTTGTAAAAGCGGCAGTACTCTTGTCTGCAATCCTTCCTTGCAATGTCCCCTCGTAGACATTCCTTGCAATGTCCCCTCGTAGACATTCCTTGCAATGTCCCCTCGTAGACATTCCTTGCAATGTCCCCTCGTAGACATTCCTTGCAATGTCCCCTCGTAGACATTCCTTGCAATGTCCCCTCGTAGACATTCCTTGCAATGTCCCCTCGTAGACATTCCTTGCAATGTCCCCTCGTAGACATTCCTTGCAATGTCCCCTCGTAGACATTCCTTGCAATGTCCCCTCGTAGACATGTCCCCTCGTAGACATTCCTTGCAATGTCCCCTCGTAGACATTCCTTGCAATGTCCCCTCGTAGACATTCCTTGCAATGTCCCCTCGTAGACATTCCTTGCAATGTCCCCTCGTAGACATTCCTTGCAATGTCCCCTCGTAGACATTCCTTGCAATGTCCCCTCGTAGACATTCCTTGCAATGTCCCCTCGTAGACATTATAACGCAGCTCACTTAAGTAGTCCTCGCAAAGCAAGTGCTTTGGGCAGTTGCTGCAACTTGAGTTAAACGACCAGGAAGCAACAGAACTGTTTTTCTGACAGCTAGGGGGTGTAACAAGGTTAGTATATAAAAGTGCCCATTCCAAGTTAAACCTGCATGTTTTTTAAAATCTAAAAAAAAAAACACACTCTTCACACACAAAGCTTTTCAGTAAGCCGAAGTGCTTTAGGGAGATGGAGTGTCCCTTCAAGTTTAGCTACACTGAGTTTAACATAACTAGTTGGCTGGCAAGATTATTTTATAAAAGTGCCCATTTCATTTGCAATCTGCACTTTTTGTAAAATGAAGAGAGGATAAACTCTTCACACACAAAGCACTTGAGCTACAGTGGTGAAGATGTTTGTACTGTTCTTTTAGGCCTAATAGTATATTGGGCGCCAACATACCTTTAAAGGAATACTATTGGGTCAGGAACACAAACCTGTATTACTGACATTGTAGTGTCAAAACCACGATTTAGGTGTATCTCTCCCTTAGAAGGGTTTAAAACTTAACTTATGTTATGGCCCCACCCCTGATCAACCTCTTTGGTGACATCATCAGAATGTACGATCTTTAGCTAATTCAATGCTTTCCCTATGTGAAAGCATTAGATTGGCTGGCTGAAATCCGCATGGGGAAAGGACAAACACTGGTTTGGCCATTCAACCCCTCCTCATAGAGATGCGTTGAATCAATGCATCTCTATTAGGGAAAATTCAGCGTCTCCATGCAGATCGCGGAGACGCTGAACGTCTGTGCAGCACTGCCCCAGGAAGCACCTTCAGTGGCCATATGAATAGTGGCCGCAGGAGGTGTCCTTAGGGGGCAATGTAAACACTGCCTTTTCTATGAAAACACAGTGTTTGCATGAAAATCCCTGCAGTGAATGATTATACCCATCAGAACAACTACATGAAAGGACCACTATAGTGCTAGGAAAACATACTCGTTTTCCTGGCACTATAGTGCCCTGAGGGTGCCCCCACCCTCAGGGTCCCCCTCCCGCAGGGCTGGATGGCAAGGAAACTTACCTTTATTCCAGCGCCGGGCGTGGAGCTCTTCTCCTCCTCTCCGCCTCCGATCCTCCTCTTCGGCTGAATGCGCATGCGCGGCAGGAGCTGCGCGCGCATTCAGACAGTCTCATAGGAAAGCATTTATAATGCTTTCCTATGGACGCTGGCGTCTTCTCACTGTGATTTTCACAGTGAGAAGCACGCAAATGCCTCTAGTGGCTGAAGCTGAAGTGGTCTGGGTGCCTAGAGTGGTCCTTTAAGCTGTAGTTGTTCTTTTGACTATAGTGTCCCTTTAATGCATTTGATTTTAATGAAGGTTTTGAGTTCACTAATGTGCTGTATTTTAATATAGTCAGATCTTTGTAGTTTGTGCAAAACAAAATATTTGCAGATTGCTGAACCATGAGGCTGCCACCTTAGCCACACCATTTCATTCCTAAAAAATACATCCTTATCAGTGTTGCCAACCAGCTTGCATTAGAAGACAATATCCAGGCAGATACAGAGTAAGGCTTACGCTATACATCTTTTTTTTTTTTTTCCTCCGGCTCTCATCAGCTTGAATATAAATTAAGTGAATAAGTTTCATTATATATTACAAGCATATATTACAAGCATATTACAACCAAACAGGTCTGCATTAGAAGAAGACTCCATTATAGGCACACAATAGTATGACGTATAGTATACTTATACTCTTTCTTTGACTGTCTGCCACTGTAGGTTGAATGAAGCAACTTAATTTTGTATTACAAAGAGAACATTGAACAGTGAAAACCAGCTATATACGTTGAACTTTAAACTCCTAGTGGTAGTCACTTGAATGTTACAGAGTGGGTGGGAGGCCTAGGGTAACTGTTGTTTGTCCTGCTCACTATAGTAATGTTCTGATCACAGTTAAACCTGGCATTGCGTGGATTAAATGCATATATAGAAGTTGTTGTTCAAAAAGAGATTTAGAAGATCTTTATTCGTACTTTTGTTAATGCACTGATTTAATCCTGGAATTCCTTCCTACTTGTGTTCCTTGCAGCTAACCATAATTATTAATGTACAATGAAGTTTCTTCATTTAGGCCTAAACCAAGTTGCAGATAGAGAAACATTAAACCGTTGATACCCTATGTCTGCCTGCATGTCCTTTCCTTCAAATGCAATCTCCTTGCCTTTAAGCAGAGGTTGAGCTCTGTACGAACAATAAGTCCACTCTTTTGTTTTTAATGGACAGTATGGATTTTTGTTGGGAGCTTTCCAGTTTCTCTGACAAGCAGGCTAAGTGAGTAATTGTACAGGTACTTGTAGGCTTTTGAAGAACCTGCTCCAAATAGCTAATTTGGCAACTACTTACACTGATAAGCCATTAAAACCACTCACAGGTGAAATGAATAACATTGATTATATTGTTACATTGGCACCTGTATAGTGGTGGGATATATTGGGGAACACTATAGTTTCAGGAACACAAACATCTATTCCTGACCCTATAGTGTGAAAATGTAATCGCCATTTAATTGCTGTGCTTTACCCCCCCCCCTTGCTTGGGAAATCGGTGCAGGAATCAGGTAAGTGTTTTTTGTTTGTTTTTTTTTTTGTTTGTTTTTTTTAAAACCTTTATGAGCTGGAGCGTGAGGGATGAAGGGGTACCAGAGTTTATATTGGTGCCATAAACATCCCATTTCTAATGTTCTACACAAACTGGTGGGATCTAGGGGCACTAAACTTAAGTGCATAAAGTAGCAACTCCTGTTGGTAGATTAATACAAAGTACATCAGTGAAAGTAGATTTATTGCTGACTTCACTGATCAAAAGTCCAGCAGAGTAGTATCATCATCACATTTAGGTGGCTTCAGCATTTGTTTCCAGAATAAAACAGACTAGTAAAGGCACTAAAAATTCCCTTTTATTTCCATTTCCATCCAACAGGATAACTGCCATCATTGCATGCTTCAAAGCACTCCATAACATAGCATTCTAAACTACTGCACTTGATTTTAGTCAGAATTGAGGCATGCATGTGATGTAATATAACCATGCTTAGTCTTACTGCTTCATGCATGCATCTTCATGCATCTCAAATGTCTGTTTAACAAATGGAAAAGGTTAAACAACACTGTTTGACTGTTCCTAGCTAGCGCTTTTTTTTATTAGGACATGGAAAGAATAGGTAAACTAGGAAGTAATAAAAGTGCTTTAATTAAAAGCTTGTGTACTGTACATACTTTATTACATGTGTTATTCTCTGCAGTCTGCTTCTTCAGGTTTTACCTTTTGATCTAAATATTAGCCAGGAGCTCTTGGTACACTGCAGTTCATTTCCACTGAATGCCAAGTTTGAGGTTTTTGTTTTAAGTTTAAGAATTATTTAAAGGAGCATTACAGGGTCAGGATCACAAACATCTATTCCTGACCCTAAAGTGTTAAATCCACCATTTAGATGACTTGCCCCGTTAAAAGGTAATAAACTTACCTTCTTTCCAGTGCTGTGTAAGTCTTCAAGCGCTGGCCCAGCCCCAATCTGACTCCTTGTCTGACCTCGTCAGAATTGATGTTCTCAGCCAATCCAATGTTTTTCTTTAGAAAAAGCATTGGAATGGCTGTGACAGTCAAGGTGGCAAGGCCAAATGCTGACTGGGCCAATCAGCATCTCCTCATAGAGATGCATTGAATCAGTGCATCTCTATGGAGAAAGTCCAGCGTCTATGCAGTGTGTGGAGACGCTGAACATCTGTGCTGCGCACTGTCCATCAACGCCCCTGGTAGCACCTCCAATGGCCATTTGAGGAGGGACCACTGGAAGTGTCCTTAGGGAGCAATGTAAACACTACCTTTTATCTGAAATGGCAATGTTTACTGCAAAAAGGTTGCAGGGATGGACTATACTCACCAAAACAACTACATTAAGCTGTAGTTGGTCTGGTGACTAGAGTGTCCCTTTATTTATGATGGATGCAGAATTGACCAAGAACTGCTGTGTGTGGCCAATCTTATGGTTAAGATTTCTCTCTTAACAAAAACTTGTGAAAAACCACCTGGTATAAACTAATATTTTAGTAGGCAGGTTTATCTATTTATACTCCTACATTCACTATTAAATTGCCCTTATTTCTTGGCTCTCCTTATCTAGATGGCCACTGATTATTTTTACTTTTGTACTTTGCATCTAAAATCCATGACCAGCGTTAAAGCACAATGAACCATTTCCTTCTTCTTGATGATGTGCAAGGCAATTCTTATTTGCTTGTTGAAATATTATATCCATTTGAAGTCTTTGTATTCTTTTCATTCCTTGCCCAGCTGGCGGCACCAAACATTCCACACCAGGAGTGTTCTGCACTAGTCCTCATCCCCCTGCCCCCCCCCCCACATTCCATAATGGAATTCTGCTTCATTCTTTGCAGAAATGCCTATAAGTTAATTTTACATAGCAATGTTTCTAGCTTTGTAGGAGTGATGGAGTTAATCATTATTCTATCAGTGTTTTTACCATGATTACTGTTTCTGTTGGGTTTTCTCTAATTATGGGAGAATTGTTTCGTGCTGTGAGTCCTCAATAGTGGCAGTACTGCTAAGCAACTGCAGGTTACCATATATTCGAAACCTGACAGGTGCCGTGAGGTGTTTAAAGTCCCTATTCATTTAAAGGGTGTGCTACCATAACTACTCTAGCTTATTGTAGTTGTTATTGTGCAAGGAAGCTATTGGTTTTGTGATGTTTGCTGATTATGAGACTGGCACAAAAATTAATTTTGGTCAGTTCATCTGAATCAAGTTCCTTTTAATCCATACCCGTAGGAATTGTTTAATCAGGCATTTAGCTGTGGAGTTTTATTCAATAAGACTCAACAGATAATTCTTTGGCGAACTGATTTGTTCTGGTGTGGATTAAAAGAAATCTGATTTTGATAAACCAGCTCAAGCACGTTTGTCCACAAATCTACTCTCTATTAACTCCAATGCAAAGACTTTCACTTTACAGGTTTTTAACAATACCTCAAATGAAAGCACGCATCCATTTATTGCTGCATTTTTTTTATTGTGGGTATATCTAAAAACCGCTTGCAAAAGCTGCAGTCTCTTGCCTCTCCCCTTTTCAAGCCCTATTCTTCCCCAGCCCAGACTTTCTGTGGCTGTCCAATTACAGACTTCAAAATGCAGCTCAATGAGAAGACTTGACAAGGCAGGTGCTCTGAGCAGATGCATGCATCTTGGGTTTAAATCCACTGAGCTAAACAACCAGGAAGTACAGAACCAGTTATCTAACCGCAAAGGGTATAACCAGATTAACATATATAACCGACCATTTATAGTGAAATCTACACTTTTTGTAAAATGAAGAGGATGCACACACCCTTCATCGAGGCATCAAAAGGGCCATGTGTTATGTGTTGGAAAACCCCCATGTTATGTCACTCTGCCTGACAGCTGAAACAGCGGCGATAGCACATAAAGACTGTCTGCATCGTACCCACTGCAATTATCTGAAGCGGTTATGGTGCATAAAGTACCATATAAATATTGTTACCAAATGTTGAAAAATACACAAGTGAGAAGTTAGTTTATCAATGTGACTCAAATTTTTGATTTTGTTCTTCTGAAGATAAATACAATTTGTTGATTAACGTTCATGTAATATAAGTTGTAGTAAAGGTTTGGATAGTTAATATTGGATTCATTTTGGCAATCTGTGCTTTGTGATCTGTGTGTGTGTTCTAAACATAAACTCCTGGAGTATCACATAGTGGATGTACGTTTCTTTCTGACAACACTGACATGTAGATTGGGACAGAGGTGGAATCTTATCAGAAAATATTTAAGAGCCTGCTATCAAAATATCACATGAAATCAGTGCTTGTTTCCCACTCCGTATACAGAATCTTTGTATTAGATCACGGAAGTAAGAGATCACACTTTTCACTCATAACTAGCTACCCAGTGCTTTCCTATGGAAAAGGATTGGCTGAGATCATCTATTTCAATTATTCCAGCCAAGGAGAAGGGGCCAGCCACAAAGTCTGGCGGTGAAAGGCAGAAAAGGTAAATAAAAAACACCATAATGAAACACTGCACATGATGAATCCACACAACTTGACCACTTCAAATCACTGTAGTGGTCTTGGTGCTTGTCATAACCGTTTTATCTACCAGGAACCATTGTTGCTGTTGTACTTTTGCACATGCACAAGAATACAAAAAAATCTGTATAGAGGATTTGGGGGATCGTAGATAATCTCATCCATGCACAATAAGTTGTCATAGGGATCTAGTGAAATAATGCCTGTTGGTGTACACTCAGCCTACCTCTGACTACTAAGTCAACACTTTAATAGTAGAGTAGCCTAGAAGAGATGTAAGGAGGCGGCATGATGGACAGAACTTTGATGATAATCCTTTCAAATACAGTTTAACATTGTAAGGAAAGAGGGCACAGTAAGTATTCCAGACCCCATATCAGCTATTTTAAGATGAAGTCATTATGGGGCTAGAGTGGCCTTTTTAAAAGGACACTATAGGCACCCAGACCACTTCAGCTCATTGAAATGGTCTTGTGCAGTGTCCCAGTCCCACTTAGTGCTTTTACATTTTTTGTTTACTAAGGCAGCCTCTAGTTTACCAGACATCCACTGCAGGTGCTTCTGGGAGTTTACCGGAATCTGGGTCGCATAAATGACGCTGAGAATCCACACGCTGTGCATGAGGTGCATCCTCATGCTCTGCATGAGGGCATCCAGCGTCTGTTAAATTTCCATTGGAAAGTGTTTAGTCTATGCTTACCTATGGGGAAGACCTAATGTGCTTGTTGCGCATGTGCATTAAGTCCTCCTGTCGGAGGAGGTGGAGCAATGGCCCACGCCAAGGGCATCGGCACTGGAATCGTGTTTTTGTTGTTTTGTTTTTTTTTAAACACCTTTTGTCGACCAGATGGCACTATAGTTTTATTGCACTACAGATTTGATAGATCTATAGATACATTTGTACACTATAGAATCCCGTTAAGGTGAAAAGGAAAGATGCATTTCTAACTACAGGATTTAGGTGTTTCTTCTAGTTTGTTTCTTAGATATGCTGTATGACTACTGGATATGTTTCCCACAAAGGTTTGTTATATTAACACACACTTTGCTTATCTTCTACAAACCAATTAACCTGTAACCTTTCACATGAAAGGAGCATATTGATAAGCTTTAAGTGTTTGTTCAGTTTATTTGTGATGACTTCACATGTGTAATTCTGTGATGTGATGTACTGTATTACTATTTAGTATGCTGTAAGGACTTTGTGTTTAGTAGGACTGTATGTTCTGTTGCTCCGATACAATGATTTCCATTAAGGGAGCACCCCAAACGTCATAACCAGTGCTGCTTGAGAGTTTCAGCTTCAGTCAATAAGTCAACAGCAGTTTCTGCTTAGAAATTTCTTGGTAGTGGAGCTGGGGAATGGTGCATGTTTTTGAAATCAAACCATTCAAAAATGATTTGAGTATATACAATGGAGCTTTCCTGCCACTATACTAACTGAAGCAAGTTGTAGTGATAATTATGATTGGAATATTCCTTTAAGAACATGGAAGTTCCTGCACTTGTGAGGATGTTGTGTTTTAATGATAAAATGAATGAGCATGGGTTGTACATTTTCTTTTCCATATCTCTGAATTCATTAAATCATTTCCAGTATATTGCACGGTTTAATCATACTTTCGCAAATACATTTTCTCATGTGTCTGGTATATCTGTACAATGATTCTGGATCTGGGATTATTCTAAATATTTGAAGATTGCCTGATACTGCGTTCTTGAATTGGTAAAGTTTTAAAACTGTACATGATCTCTCCATTTATTATTCTTTGAATGGGTAAGCGTTCACACACTTGATACATGCTTTTGGCACATGAGTAATTCCTAATTAACCGTATTTAAAATCACATTTGCCTGTGCATAGGTACCTCTACAAACATCACTTTCATAGTCCAGTGCTGTCACAACACTGGGCTATGATAGTACTCTTGCCCTCCATAGGAACAAATGATCTCTAAAAATAACCGTTTCAATTTGCATCCTCCATACACACACAGAGACAGGGATCACACACATCCTCCATACACACACACACACAGAGACAGGGATCACACACATCCTCCATACACACACACACACAGAGACAGGGATCACACACATCCTCCATACACACACACACAGAGACAGGGATCACACACATCCTCCATACACACACACACAGAGACAGGGATCACACACATCCTCCATAAACACACACACAGAGACAGGGATCACACACATCCCATACACACACACACAGACAGGATCACACACATCCTCCATACACACACACACAGACAGGATCACACACACATCCTCCATACACACACACAGACAGGGATCACACACACATCCTCCATATACACACACACACACAGACAGGGATCACACACATCCTCCATATACACCACACACACACAGACAGGGATCACCACATCCCCCATCCACACACACACACACACACACACACACGGATCGCAGACATTCTCCATACACACACACGGATCGCAAACATTCTCCATACACACACACACACACGGATCGCAGACATTCTCCATACACACACACACACGGATCGCAGACATTCTCCATATACACACACACACACATCGCAGACATTCTCCATACACACAAACACAGACAGGGATCGCAGACATTCTCCATACACACACACACACACACACACGGATCGCAGACATTCTCCATATACACACACACACACACACACACACACACACATCGCAGACATTCTCCATACACACAAACACAGAGACAGGGATCGCAGACATTCTCCATACACACACACACACACACACACAAACAGGGATCGCAAATTTCTCAGATTGTGCAGCTCTTGGTGCCCCCGGTATCCTTTCCTCCATGCAAACCTTCCTCTCCTTGCAATCAGAACGGACAGGCGGGGGCCCGGAAAGGAAACTTTTATGATTAGTATTGGCATTTCAATTTGCAATAGCAGATGAAATGCTGTTAATAATTATAAATCATTCTCTGCGTGTGTCTACTGAACGGTAGTTTTACAGCCTGGTGCACACTCAACACTGGGCTCTGAAAGTGCCAGTAATAGCAGTAACTCAAACTTAGGGACAGAACAGATCTAGTGAAATACTTGCATCTCTGCCTGGGTGTCCTCTCTTTGCAATTCAGACTCCTTGTATCATAGCAAAAAATATCCATATTTAAGCATACAAAAATAAAATGTAAATGAGGCCAAAACTTGATAAGTGCAGTAAAATTGTTTTAGTGCCCAAAGTGTCACTGGTGAAACAGCAATGGCCAACCTTGGCACTGCTTGTATCGATGGAATTTATTTTCCATTTGCCCAGACAGCTTAGCCTGCTATTCTAGCCATCAGTGACCTAGAAAGTTTATACAGCATACGCTGTCCCTCCCGTTTGATTACACACTAAAGGAATTCAGAAATGTTTGGACTTTACTCAGCCTTGTGCTATTCGTCTTTTATTGCTATTCGACTTTTTATACATTACCATTCTATCTGTTTAGTACGGTTTTTATTATCCAGGATCAATATTCTATCTACTAATGATTCTGTGTTTCCAAAAATTCAAACTGATTTTAGGTGAGAGTTGGGAATTGCAGTAGGGAAAAGAAATGTAATCCACTGCATTTTACTTTGATAACTTATATTTTAACCAGCACTCCTTTACTTTTGAATTATTTGTACGTGGATAGAGATTTAATAAAACTAGGATAGTATAGATGTGACAATAATGCAGGTATATATGCAGCTATATGTCTTACGTGCCAGGTTATTCCAGTACTAAAACTGCAAAATGTCTTAAACATGGAAACATAGAATATAACGGCAGATTGAAAGCCCATCTACCGTAGACTGCCCAATTTTCTAAATACTTTCATTAGTCCCTGGCCTTATCTATAGTTAGGATAGCCTTATGCATATCCCACACATGCTTAAACTCCTTTACTGTGTTAACATCTACTACTTCAGCTGGAAGACTTAAATGGATAATATAGTGTTAGGAATACAAAGCTGTATTCCTTGCACTAAAGTTCATTCTGCCTCCCTCACTCCCTTCTACTATAGGCTGTCTTAGCACTGCAATGTTTTACATTGCAGGACCAAGGGCAATAGGGATACTGTACCCACACCACTTCAATATCCCTTTAAAGGACCACTCTAGGCACCCAGACCACTTCAGCTTAATGAAGTGGTCTGGGTGCCAGGTCCTTTCTAGGGTTAACCCATTTTTAAATAAACATAGCAGTTTCAGAGAAACTGCTATGTTTATGAATGGGTTAAGCCTTCCCCCTAATCCTCTAGTGGCTGTCTCATTGACAGCCACTAGAGGCGCTTGCGTGCTTCTCACTGTGATTTTCAGTGAGAGCACGCAAGCGTCCATAGGAAAGCATTGTAAATGCTTTCCTATGCGACGGGCTGAATGCGCGCGCAGCTCTTGCCGCGCGTGCGCATTCAGCCCAGGAGGAGGATCGGAGGCAGATAGCTCTCCGCCCAGCGCTGGAAAAAGGTAAGTTTTAACCCTTTTCCCCTTTCCAGAGCCGGGCGGGAGGGGGACCCTGAGGGTGGGGGCACCCTCAGGGCACTATAGTGCCAGGAAAACGAGTATGTTTTCCTGGCACTATAGTGGTCCTTTAACTCAAGAAAGTTCCTAAAAGAACAGAGACATCCTCAACATACCCCCTGTTTGGTATTGCTCAGTTATTACAATGTTACTAGCCAGTATGACCTTGGGTCATCCTCTTTGAATCTAAATGTTATACAGTAGTTGGGAGTGGAAACAAGAAGGTGCAGGGGAATTAGCGGTTGGACTGGATAACTGCTCGATTTAATTTAGTGAACTTGCTGTGATGCCAGGAAGTGGCCAAAGTTGTTGTACTTCAGCTGTGTTTCTCATGTTAAAACAGCATTCAAAGGAGGAGTTGTAGTAAAAACCAAAATGAGGCAGTAATCAAATCCCAATAGAATTTATTTATAAATGTATATCTAATTTAAAAAAAGATCTAAAATCTACTATTATTCCAGTGTGGGAAAGATACTGAACTGTTCCTAATTCTGCTCCAGTGAACTCTTCAATCCTATTGACTTTTGGCCAATCTGGTGGTTTGTAGAAAAGCATTGAGGGCACTGTGCATGTGCAACAATAGCTACTATGTACCAATATAGTGATGTTCAGCATCATCATACTTGGCGTGATTAAGCTAAATGTGAAGTCTTTTTTTAAAAATGGAAGGTTCTAAAGAGGAAGTGTATCTAGTGGCTGTCTATATGAGATAGAAACATTTTCAGAAACTGTAATATTTTACATTGTCTGAGAAAAGCATCTGTGCACCATAACCACTACTGCTCACATGAGTCACACACGATTTCCTAGTGGCAATTAATTTCCTTTTTGCTTTATGCGGGAAACATTTAAATGAATGGGAACTATGTGTGAAAGATAATGGCAAATGTATAAAGCTAATGTTCCCCCATTTATTTTATATGTACAATCACTTGTATTAGGTGCGGACTCTTTATTCCTTGCAGCAAAACTTTACTAAAGGAATCATACTTTTGCCTGTCGCAACAAAGCAGAAGTTAAATTTTAAATTAAGACTATGCAATAAAGGAAGTTTAAACATTAGATTTCTCTTTACAGAAAATGTGTAGGGAGAAAGTGATTTAACTCCTAAATGGCAGATAATTGAGCAGTGAGCCTGCATGGGCATGATCTGTACACCAACACCACTCCATTAAAGGAACACTATAGTGTCAGGAACACAAACCTGTATTCTTCACGACACTGTAGTGGTAAAATAACAAATTGGATCCCTAGCCCCCCCATCTCTTAGTACTGAAAAGGTGCTTTTACTCACTTTTTTTTTTCCCCCCACACCGTGCCAGCCTCGCCACTGCTGGCCCTGGCTCCCTTTGTGGCCAACGTCCGTAAACTTGATTACCTCTGCCAATTTAATGATTTCAGATAGGAAAGCATTGGGAGACTATTGCGCATGCACGGCAAAATGCCACGCTGCGTGAGTCGGCATCTCAACATAGACTCCAGATATTCCAGGCAACATGCCCACTTCAGTGAGATGAAGTGGTTACCAAGCCTAGTATCCCTTTTTAATCTTTTTTTTTTTTTCTTGTGTACTTATATAAAGTGAGAAGTGAGTTGCCATAATAACTTGGATTGTGCATTATCATATAAATATCAACTCTCTTATGTGTCTGAATTTTTCTTTTTCTCTTAATAGGTGATCCTCTTACTCCTTGCAATGAGACAAAGTGGAGCCAAAAATGGCAGTCTTCCCGTCCGCTCAGGAGGACAAGCCTGTCTTTAGGCTCAGGATTTTGGCATGCAACAGGGAGACATTCCAGCCGACGACTCCTAAGAGCAATCCCACGTCAGGTGGCTCAAACTCTCCAAGCTGATGTGTTGTGGCAGTTGGGATACACAGGTATTTCATCCTGCTGCATGCAGTTTTACCAATCTACAATTATAGGAGTAGTTATCCTTTTTCTTTTCTTTTTTTATTTTTAAAGGCAGGCTGTGCCTAACTAACAACAAACATTAAAAAACAGTAGGCCTATCTGTTCCTACAACTTGTATTTTTTCATTTTATTTTCATTGAAGAGAAAATAGCTGTTCCCTTTTTCTTATAAAGAAAGTTAAAATATCATATTTTAAATGAGCACTCCACACTTAAAACTACTTTATCCCTATAAAATTGTTTTGTTTCCTGGATATCCTGGGCAGTGTCTTACCTTAAGATAAGACATTCTGTTAATTACAATGGATGGCTGATGGCAGCCCTAGAGTGTCAGTAGATGGTTTCAGCCTGTCTCCAACGCCCACTTCTTTCCTTCCTGCTCTCAGACGGCAGCCGAGCAGAGGAGGCAGAAGACAGTGTGGAAGGGCACCAGGGGACCAACTTAGGCGTTAAACTGTTTTAAAAACTAGACAGTGTCTAGGGATTCCAGTCTCTAAAACAAATTCATTGGGATCAAGTTTTATTGGAGGTAAAGTGTTCCTTTAAAGGACCACTATAGTGCCAGGAAAACAGACTTGTTTTCCTGGCACTATAGTGCCCTGAGGGCACTCCCGCCCGGCTCTGGGGAGAGGAAAGGGTTAAAACTTACCTTTTTTTCAGCGCCGGGTGGGGAGCTCTCCTCTCCGCCTCCTCTCCTCCCCTTCGGCTGAATGCGCACGCGCGGCAAGAGCTGCGCGCGCATTCAGACGGTGTCATAGGAAAGCATTTACAATGCTTTCCTATGGACGCTTGCGTCTTCTCACTGTGATTTTCACAGTGAGAAGCACGCAAACGCCTCTAGCGGCTGTCAATGAGACAGCCACCATAGGATTTGGAGGCTGGATTAACCCTATTATACTGCTATAAACTGCTATGTTTATTAAAAAAAAGGGTTAATCCTAGAGGGACCTGGCACCCAGACCACTTCATTAAGTTGAAGTGGTCTGGGTGCCTAGAGTGGTCCTTTAAGCTCTGATGTGCATGACTGTTAAGCTATGAATATAATGGTCCCCTCTGCTTCTTTTGGTTTTTTTTTTTTTCCTCCCCGCCACACAAATCCAATAAACTAGTAATTTGCCCATTAACGAATAAATAGTCAAACCTAATTTGCGGTCAGATTAACCTTTTCAGAGGGTTTGGGTTGGCTGTGGTCACATGCTGGTAAAGTGCCCTTTTTTGGTACATACACTGTGGGGTAGGTATTTGGAGTAAGCAACTCTAGAGCCACCCATTTCTAACCTCACAGAAAACCATTAAATAAAAGCCAGTATTTTTTAATTTAGTATCTGCACTACCTTTTTATGTCCAGGGTTACCTGGTTTTCCTCTAACAGAAAGCCAGCAGAAGTGTTCCCGGAATCTGAAATATTACTAGGCATGCAAAACCCACTGTAGTTATTTTACCACTGTGTTAAGTAGGTTCAAAGTCTATTAAATGCCTCCCACACACTTTTCATTTTCCTACTTTGTACTTTAACTTTCATGAATATTTGTGTTCTCTTTACACAGGTAGCAATGTAAAAGTTGCTGTTTTTGACACTGGATTAAGCGAAAAACATCCACACTTCAAAAATGTCAAAGAACGGACCAACTGGACAAACGAGAAGACCTTGGATGATGGTAAGCACGATTGTAGAAGTGGTGGACTGCCAAAAGAAATGTATATTTCTCTTGACAAGACTTCTTAATGTAAGCAAATTGTTCGTTGTTGGAAACTTTGTTATTCTAATTATCCTCTAGTATGAAAGTGAAGAGGAAGAAATATGTACCTTTAATGTGTTGTAAGTCTATGTATTTGCGGTGGCTAAGGTCTGCAGGGAAAGGTGAGTAATACTTATCAGAACCTGTCCCTCATAGCCGCCGCTATTTTATTCCTGGCATCAGCTGCGAGGAGTTCACACAATATTCTTGCACATGCGCAAGAGTGCAGCACTGCTGTCTGTGGAGGATCCCATGGGATCTGAGCCTTCCCTCCCTTCCAGCTGTCTCTGGTAACGGGCTGAGGGCTTGACAAGGCTTTACAAAAGATAGCTCAGGGTTATGTCACGCTTTTTCAAACACATGAAAAAATACTAATGCAAAGTAGTCCCTACTTTGTCTTAGTATATCTTTTGACTGCTTTAGTGAAACTCCAGCAAATGTGAGTATTTAATTAAGATTTGTTTTTATAAAATACAAATTTTGGGTCGGGGGTTGACAGTTGTTTTAATATGTCATCTTGGAATCCAGTCCCACAGTTCCTTGCTTTTTAACTCACTTTGTGAGTTGTGAGGCAGTCCTGTCTCCTTTGCTCTTGACCTCCATTTTTGTAGTCTGTGTCTCTTTATGGACTGCCCTGCACTAAAGACGAATTGTTGAATAAAATAATACTTTACAATATATTTAGCAGTTTGACTCACATAATGCATTGGTAACATGACCCAAAACATTTTATCCAGGCAATGTTTAAGCCACATTTGCTATAAATAACATCTATTTAGAATAACACTTCTGGCACAAGCACAACTTGCGTATACTTGGCTCATGTTTATTCTTAAAATCTTTTTAGTTTAGCTTTCTACAATGTTACTCTGCCCCCTCTTTTCACAATGTAAATTCCTCATAAGATATATTTGATATATCGACATTCAGTGTTTGTTCATCTGAAATTTCTATCCCTCTGACAAATGAATGGATGAAATTCCCGTCTGAATTTTAGACAATAGCGAATGCACCAGTGTGGGCAGATGACGTGTCCCACAGGGCCTTCATCTGCCCACACAAAGATGGCAGCGCCCAGGACCTAGGCCTGGTCACAAAATAAAGATTACCAAATAGTTAATATGGGGGGTTTAGGGGCATTTGGGGTGACTAGAGGGGCAATTGGATGTGGTGGAGTCGATAGGGGGGTTTAAAAACAAAAACAAAAAAAAAACTGATGCGGCTATGACAGTGCCGCTTAAACCCTGAAAAACTAATTATTGCTGTTTTTATTAAACTTTTGGTCGCCTAACACCTGCACCCAAAATCCCACAGTCAAGCATTGTATATTGCTTTCCTATGGGGAAAGTATTAATGCGAACGGAGGGAGTGGGGGGCTTGACAGAGGCACTCTAGGGAGCAACTTTGTTTTTCTGGCATTATAGTTTCCCTTTAAGATGAGCACAACCACCATCTCCCATGCACCCACCCCTCCCATATGGAGGTGACCACAGGTCAAATATGTATTTGTTATAGAGCAGATTTAATTTTATGCATTGTTAATAGTGATGTCCCGAACGGTTCGCTGCGGACGGCGAACATATGCGGTAAACTTTGACCCTGTACCTCACAGTCAGTAGACACATTCCAGCCAATCAGCAGCAGACCCTCCCTCCCAGACTCTCCCACCTCCTGGACAGCTCACTAAGAATGCAGCTTCACAATGAATGTAAAATGGATGCTGTCCAGGAGGTGGGAGGGTCTGGGAGGGAGGGTCTGCTGCTGATTGGCTGGAATGTGTCTGCTGACTGTGAGGTACAGGGTCAAAGTTTACCGCATATGTTCACCGTCCGCGGCGAACCGTTCAGGACATCACTAATTGTTAATATATATAGTAAAGCACTGTCCCTTTAATTATCTAGTTATGCCACTTTATTTTTTTTTATTTATTTTTTTATTTTGTATGATATATATTTACAATACTTAATGGATTAATTTAGCACAGACAGTATCTAAGTAGTTGTTTGTCTCCCATGTTAAAATTAGTGTAGAATCCACCGATATTTAGGTACTGTGACATGGTGGTGGGCCATATACTGGTTATTTCGTAGGATATGGGTGATTTAAAGCTTTGTAAAATTCAAGTCTGTATCTTTGTGTGCTGTTCCTTTAATCTGTATTTTATATAAAATTTACATCAGCACCTCTGCCGAGAAATGCAAATTCTGTGTGTCCCCAATTCCCTCGGTTTTCAAACACCATCTGTCCCAAGATGTTTTTCTATGGCTGAAGAATCCTGTTACATACTAAGTTAGGGTTGAGTTTTTCAAATTTATAAACCTAGATTTGTAAAAATAGATTTACTTTGAAAACTTGATTAAATGATTATTATATTAAAATATAGCTTCCAGGTATCCTTTACATTTTTCAGTAAAGTCACACCTCTTGCGCCTATTAACTTTTTTTATAAACTCCTTTACAAAGTGCTATTTGCTAAGCTTGATCCTTTAGTTAACCTGTCATTTCCCAAGGTGTTGTGCAAATATCGTATAAACCTTACTCTGTTATAGCTCTGCTACTCCTATGCCTTATTTATTCTCAAAAATGGGCATAGTTTCTCTGAGATAATTTAGGTATACAGTTTCCTAGACATTTTTTTTATTCCTGCATTATCTATGTGCTCAATAAAACAAAGCTACCCTTTTAGTTTGGCTACGATGGCCTAAATTCGGTAATTCAATATGAATTCCTGGCGATTCACACTTTAGAGAATAACACTGTACTGTCTCTTTAACACAATAAAATTACTGGAGACAGATTACAGTGGACATTTTTATCTTCAGTGAAAAGGCTGATGCACTGTATACATTTAATAAAAGTAGACAAACACTCTCCGCCTCCCAGTCCTGTTCACAGTGAGACACAAGTAATATCCTGTGCTCTACCCTGACTATATTAGATTGTGTTGTTGGCCTGGATGCCTGGATGCTCGTACTGTACTTATTTAGGGAACACATTATGTTTCTGTGACCCGTGAAAATTGTCTTCTCTGCAGTTTTTCTATTAATGTTTCCATTTTGTCTAGGCCTGGGCCATGGAACCTTTGTGGCAGGTGTCATTGCTAGCATGAGAGAGTGCCAAGGATTTGCTCCAGACTCCGAGCTGCACATCTACAGGGTTTTCACAAATAATCAGGTATTTCCATTCATACACGTGCGCACATTCAGGTTCTGTGTTTTTGCTGTGTACTTCGCATTCTGCTGCCCATTACATGGACATTGCACGTAGTACTTCCCATATCTAGATCTGTGCTTCCTTACTCTTCCCAGTCTTGAGATAATAAACATTAACTTCTTGAACTTGCAGTTTCCAAAGCTGACCTATGACAGGAAATGGTAACACCCTACATTGTGCCTTCCTGAAAGAAGTACTTGGTGTTCAGGCTGTTGGCTATTCAAGAAAAAAATAAATCTGTAATAAACACATTTTTAATTGTAACTTTTTACTCTTCCCTCGCCCCCCATTATTGTTTACGCCTGATTTAATCGATGGAATTCTTTTTCTTAAATACTTGGATATATAAACGTGGTTCTGTCACCTTCTGGCATCTTTGCGTATTTTTCAAAGTCCCCTGCTGCTTAGAGTGTGGTAGCTGTGGAGTGCAGGACAGTTAAGTTTACTTACTTGAACCTGTTCTTTGCAGCCACTGCCATAGTCTGTCCGCTGCTACTCTTCAGATTTTGGTACTGAAGAGTGCGCATGAGTACAACAGTGATGTCTATGGGCCTTTTCCTGCTCAGCCATCTCTATTGATGGCTGAGAGATTGACAAAGCTTTACAGTGTTAGCTCTACCTATTTTTAAACCAAAGGAAAAATACATAAGGCAAAGTAGCTCCTAGCATTATTTGCATTATTTGATATATTTCAAAGAAGGAGGAATGCAGTACCCAGCTGGCCCCAGATAAGATGTCAGATTGTTCTAAAATGGGGAGACAGTACTTAAAATAGGGGAGATGGTATGAGGGCGTTCCTGGCACCATACCCACTACAACACAATGTAGTGGTTATGGTGATTTTAGTGGTCCTTTAACCCCTTAAAGGACCACTCTAGGCAGCCAGACCACTTCAGCTTAATGAAGTGGTCTGGGTGCCAGGTCCTTCTAGGGTTAACCCATTTTTTCATAATTATAGCAGTTTCAGAGAAACTGCTATAATTATGAATGGGTTAAGCCTTCCCCCTAATCCTCTAGTGGCTGTCTCATTGACAGCCACTAGAGGCGCTTGCGTGCTTCTCACTGTAATTTTCACAGTGAGAGCACGCCAGCGTCCATAGGAAAGCATTGTAAATGCTTTCCTATGAGACCGGCTGAATGCGCGCGCAGCTCTTGCCGCGCGTGCGCATTCAGCCGGCGGGGCTTAACGGAGGCGGAGAGGAGGAGGAGAGCTCTCCGCCCAGCGCTGGAAAAAGGTAAGTTTTTACCCCTTTCCCCCTTCCAGAGCCGGGCGGGAGGGGGTCCCTGAGGGTGGGGGCACCCTCAGGGCACTATAGTGCCAGGAAAACGACACATGACGTGTGACATGTCATGATTCCCTTTTATTCCAGAAGTTTGGTCCTTAAGGGGTTAATTGACTGGGCATAGACTTAAAAGTCTATCACACAAGGGTTGATACATCAGGACTAAAGAGTTTAACCACATAAAAGCTATTGCTAAATTTACTTTAAAATCAACTAAATAATTGATATTTCCATCATTTGTCTAGGCTGGCTGATCTCAGAACTTGAACAGATTTGAAACATTTATTACATGTGTTTACCATTTCAGTAACTAATTTGTGATCTTTTTATTTTTCCACTTGTGGTTGATTTGAGAACATCTGGCAGTGGTCACGTAAATTTGCTGGGAGGTCAAAAGCTGCACCATGCAACTTCTCATTTTGGGTGGTATCCATCCGATATGCAGATGGTCCTGGTTCTTTTTGTAATGGCACAAGATGAGATAAAACTAGCTTGAGATCTGAGCAGGGACCCACCGAAGCTGTCCTGTTGTCCGTTCTCAGTACTCTCTCTTGTATTCTGTTTTTTTTTTTTTTCTGTAAGTTTTAAAGGGTAATGCAGACATGGACTCCTTGCTCACGGTGCCTTAAGAGGTATCGACTATACCTCACTGACGATACCCAACAAGGCTGAAATGATCTGGGGTTGCTGTATCTCTCGTACAGAGAGAGTTGCCCTGCATTTCAGATTTGGACTGCCCTTTTGTGTGTTATCCATCTGACATGCAAATTGTCCTGGTTCTTTTTGTAATGAGCTTGGGATCTGAGCGGGATACCACCGGACTCTTTAAAGCTGTTGTCTATTTTACTCTTTTGCACCTTGTTTTTTTTTTGGTTGGTTTTTTTTTCATTATAATGTATTTAGCCATTTTATTTACTGAAACGCTTACTGAATTCTTCTTAGTAGAAGACAGGTAAGGGTTAGTAGGTTAACGGCCAAGGGTTGACAAATAGAAATTTGGTGTCTCAGTTGTAGTCAGGTGCCAGCAGTAACCTCTTTAGTAGTCATGGCTTCCTGTCTGCTGGAAATTGTCAGGCCATGTAATACAAAATAGCAGAGCTACTGGCGGATGTACGAACACTATATCAGGTGATCTAGTTTCCTTGCATTATCAGAAAAACATATGTTAATGAACCAATTATATTTTAATAGAATTATAGTGTGAATGCTGTTTACCTGTAGTCGCATGTTTCTACTCTCACTTTCAGTGCTTGCCAAACAGGTATGTCTTGAGATTAAGTTCAACTACAACGTCTATAAGTCAGACATAGAATTGCCAAAGGCTGACTGAAGTCCCTAAGATTTGTGGTTTAGCAAAGGTTTGCTCATTGGTTAACCCATCTCTTTTTAAAAGGAATCCTGGGGATTCTTTATGTTTAGTATTTTAATGTTTCTGTTAAGTCTTGTGTGTTATTTCTACTTTTGGAATTGTAATTATGGCAGAGAAAGTGACGCTTCCCGTATTCCACGTGTTTCGCAGCTGTTATTTCCTACACTTTGCCAGAAATATTTATATTATGGAATCCACTCTGTAAAGGATTCAGGCCTCTTATTAAATACACATTGCATATTTTCATATGTCTCGCACGCTTTCACCTCAAGTGCAAATCCACTTTTCTTTTACTCTCTGCCAAGCTCCATGTCAGTGCGTTTGGTAGTACATTTTTAATAATTAAAGGCAGTCTAAGAAATAGGAGAAGCAATATAAAGAATTACATTCAATCTCTGATACTCTTCATTTGGAATGAAATACTAAATACTCTTCTATAGGTATGCAAGTCTTTCTCCTTTCAAGTTAAACAAGACCCCTCCATTGTATCTTAATCCGTTAACATATGCTAATACTAATCAGTAATTGTAACAATCTCCTCCAAATAATAATAATTTGCTATCTTTATTGAGCCTTTCTCCCTGTGAGACTCAAAGCAGTTTACAAATATACAAATATGAAGACATAAAAGTTAGGAGTTTCTGATGGACAAATGAGCAGACTGAATGCCTGATGGAAGAGGTGGGTCTTTAGCTTTTTTACATTTTTTAAAATTCTGTATGGACGGTGCCTCTGAGCACAGTAAAGAGTTCCAGAAGGTAGGGGCAACGTGGCTGAGTTTGTCTTTATTCTTGGCACTGACAGGAGGGATTTGCTGACTGACCGAAGTGAACGAGATGGACTATAGGGTGTCTCTTTCAGGTACTGTGGGACTTGCTTGTTTAAGTCTTTGAAGGTCAGCAGGCCGATTTTAAAATGTTTGTCATTTAATTGGAAGCCAATGCAGGGAGTGGAGAACAGGTGTTATGTGGCAGGAGTGGGTTTGATTGGTCAGTAGTCTGACTGCTGCATTTTGTATTTTGTACTGTCTAAAGGTAATATAGTTCTTTTTCTGAGAGGCCCAAGTAAAGTACATTGCGGTAATCTAGCCGAGAGGACACACATGCATGGATTAATGTTGGCATATCATCTGGTGGATTTAAGTGTTGTATCCTGCCTATATTTTTCAAATGAAAGTAAGCAGATTTTATTACGGAGTAAATTTGCTGTTTAAATGCTGGTCCAGAGTCAATCAGCACTCCGATGTTTTGTACCTCTGATGAACTAATGATTTGAGAGCCTCCAATCTCTAGGCCAGTTGGGTGATCATGGGATATTTTTGTTGCCTGGGGTCCCCTCACCAAGAGTAACTGTTTTGTTCGGGTCCACTTTTAGCCAACTAGCATTCATCCATTCTATGAGGTCTGCTAAGCAACTGTTAATGCGGCATGTTGGGTCTGTAGTATCTGGAGCAAAGGAGAAGTAGAGTTTTGTTTCATCAGCGTAACAATGATACCTTAGGCCAGTGCCTGATTATGTCCTCCAGTGGTAGCAAGCAAATTGCGAAGAGCATGGGCGAGAAGATGGAATCTTGTGGAACTCCGCAGGCCAATTCTGTTGGTGCCGATGTATTTGATCCGGATGTTTCTCTCTGTGATCTACAACAAGGTAGACCAGTGAGGACTGTGCCTCCTAGACCACAGATGTGCTGCAAGCGCTCTATTAAAATCCTATGGTCCATGGTGTCAAATGTTTGTTTTGCAATTGTTTTTGAATGTATAACTACTTCTTTATTTTTTTAATTTGGAAAGACTGGGGCACCTATCTAGAAACAAGTGTCTCACTCTATGTGCCCTACCTCCCCCATAGTTTCTCCCTCTGTTCTTTCCCATAGAGTTGTCTGCTGGCAATGTGTAATGGATTTCTACCACACTCTTGCTTCCCTTTCTTCCGGGAGGTGTGCTATATTTCCTTGTGGTCCTTAGGTCTGTATCTCACTGCTTTAAGCTCCAATGTGGTTGAATGGGTAAGGCAGTGGCTGAGTGACAGGCAACAGAGGGTTGTAGTCAATGGAGTATATTTGAAGCTTAGGCTTGTCACCAGTGGGGTACCTCAGGGATTTAATATTTTTATTAGTGATATTGCAGAAGGTCTTGATGGTAAGGTATGTCTTTTTGCTGATAATACTAAGATATGGAACAGGGTTGATGTTCCAGGAGGGATAAGCCAATGGCAAATGATTTAGGTAAACTAGAAAAATGGTCAGAGTTGTGGCAACTGACATTTAATGTGGATAAATGCAAGATAATGCATCTTGGACGTAAAAACCCAAGGGCAGAGTACAGAATATTTGATAGAGTCCTAACCTCAACATCTGAGGAAAGGGATTTAGGGTTGATTATTTCTGATTACTTAAAGGTAGGCAGACAATGTAATAGAGCAGCAGGAAATGCTAGCAGAATGCTATTGTATAGGGAGAGGTATTAGCAGTAGAAAGAGGGAAGTGCTCATGCCATTGTACAGAACACTGGTGAGACCTCACTTGGAGTATTGTACGCAGTACTGGAGACCGTATCTTCAGAAGGATATTGATACCTTAGAGAGAGTTCAGAGAAGGGCTACTAAACTGGTTCATGGATTGCGGGATAAAACTTACCAGGAAAGGTTAAAGGATCTTAACATGTATAGCTTGGAGGAAAGACAAGACAGGGGGGGGATATGATAGAAACATTTAAATACATAAAGGGAATCAACACAGTAAAGGAGGAGACCACATTTAAAAGAAAAATAACTACCACAACAAGAGGACATAGTCTTACATTAGAGGGGCAAAGGTTTAAAAATATCAGGAAGAATTACTTTACTGAGAGGTTAGTGGATGCATGGAATAGCCTTCCAGCTGAAGTGGTAGAGGTTAACACAGTAAAGGAGTTTAAGCATGCGTGGGATAGGCATAAGGCTATCCTAACTATAAGATAATGTATTTAGAAAATTGGGCAGACTAGATGGGCTGAATGGTTCTTATCTGCCTTCACATTCTGTTTCTATGCTCATTGTTGAGTCATTAGTGAGTGTAGGGATAGTGAGGGAGCATTTATAGTGAACTTCACCTTCCTGGAGGCAGACCACATTCTTCTACTGTAACTTTATCTTTTATTACAAGCATCATGTGTTGTCATAAGTGATACATAGTCCATGTCATTGTTTATTCTTGAAACTCCTTTACCCTGGCTACTGGAGATAATCTGTCCGTCTCACAAACACTACCACAAAGTCTATTTGATGCTTTACTAATGCTAAACATTGTATTTTAATTTCTCTGTAACATATTCTTATCTTATCCTTTAACACTGGCATACATTAACTCACCCCTTCTTGTTTACTTCAACTTTAAGATGAGATGATTAGCAATAAATCCCACAAGACCATTTTATACCTTTGGCACAACATTCTTGCCTATGGGGTAATTCACTAATTATTAATATGTGGGCTGCAATTAAGGCTTGGTTCAAAATGTACTCTTTGTTAAGTATATTCATGTTATGATATAATAGATTATTATTATTTAAATGCTAGCTCCAGCAGACAGGAAAGCAAATAACATATCCTGGTCTGGACCCAGTGTTGTCACACCCTGTACTCCAGGACTTTGCGTTAATTTGGCTTCTAGCCCGTCCCTGAACTAGTGTGTTCATTGACCGGATACCCATTTATTGCTGGCTGGTTCTGCCATGTCCTGTCAACTGAATGTTTGCAGAGGAAAAAAAACAAAACTATTTTTGAAGGTTTATTTTGTCTGTATACCTTTCCTCTGATTTGGTTATTTTCTTATTAAATGTAACTTGTTCAATCTCTTACTAGGTTTCCTACACATCCTGGTTTTTAGATGCTTTTAATTATGCCATCCTAAAGAAGATTGATGTGTTAAACCTGAGCATCGGGGGGCCGGACTTTATGGATCATCCTTTTGTTGATAAGGTAGATGTATGTTGGAGATGCTTTCTCTGCTGTTAAATCTAAAAATAATGACACGTGGCTTTGTACCCATTTCTTGTACATTGTTTGCCTTTTTTTGACTGAATGGTAATTGTCTGGTTTGCCGTCATAGACTAACCCATGCAAATTCTTTGGTACTCTGCAGGTGTGGGAGCTGACGGCTAACAATGTGATTATGGTTTCTGCCATAGGGAACGATGGACCACTTTATGGGTAATAACATCATGTTCAAGAGCTGTCTCCATTGTTTAGTTTTATGGTATTTCAATAACTTAGATGTGGAAAAAAAAGTACTTTTACACATTCAAAAGAGTGCAACGGTGTGTAGGCGCTACCACATAAAAATACACACAGGTGTAGTGTAAGTGTATCAGACAGCACTTAAAAGGTAAATAATACAATAGATAAAGATACTACACCAAAACGCAAAATAATAGATGTTTTCAGACTGAAACAATCTAAAAGACAATACATTCAATACACTGCTTAATTATACCTTTTTAATTTCCTATAATAAATAAATTTGTTATATTTTAATCCAACTTTGTGCTGCTCTCCTTCAAGGATGTTAGCCTGTTTAGGCACCCTCAAGCCTACCAAATAGAGCCTAGGACGGCTCTACATCCTGTGAGTTTTATCCTATATAGGGGCTTATTTTTATATGCTTACCGTCTGCACTATGTATTGTATGTTTGTCTTTTAGATTGTTCCAGTCTGAGAATATCTATATTATTTTGCTGTTTGGTGTAGTATCTTTATCTATTATACTTTTACACATTCGACTATCCCTTTTCAAGAGCATATCTGTTGCCCACATACATATAAACTATATCTTTGCCAATGTCTTTATGCTTCCAGAGCATCGTAATGGCTTCCATAATTAACCAGATCTTATTGAGAAAAAACAAACATAATCTTCACTTGGATGTGTTATGAAGATTTGCTTCAAATCTAACTTGAAGCACACTCTGTGGATATTTGTTGGAGCTCCTCAAATGTCTGAATTTTAAAATTGTGTCTTCATTTTTCATTTAAGACTGCATTTCCGCTTCAATCCCCTGTTCATTGTAACTGTGTGTATGTGTATGTGTGTATATGTATGTATGTATGTATATATATATATATATATAATATATATATATATATATATATATATATATATATATATATATATATATATATATAGTTATAAATCTATATGTCTGTATTAAAGCCGTAAGTTGCCCCACCTAAGGGGAAACTCCACTGCCTAAATTAAAAGATCACTCTTTAGTAGATATACTCCATTAAATCATGCATGCTTTTAATTAAGCATTTTTGTTATTCGGGGGTATATCTAAAACAGCTTAAAAAGTCACATATCTCCTATCTGAGGCTTTTGTAAGACCTCCCTTTCTAAACTAGCTCAGACATTCTGTAGCAGTCCAATCCCTTCTCAGTGCAGCTCAATGAGAAATCTTTGCAAGGCGGGTGCTCTGGGCAGTTGCCTGTCTCCTGAGTTTCGCCCCATTGAGCTAATCAACCAGGAAGCAACATGACTGGTTGACAGCCAGAAGAGTGTAACAAGGTCAATTTATAAAGTAAGAATTTCTGTTAAAATCTGCGCTTTTTGTAAAATATAGAAAGTGGACCTGAAGCACTTCAGGAAGCTAAAGTGTTCTAGGTGTCTACAGTATCCCGTTAAGGGATCATCCAAGTTATACCTCTTAAAGCGACACTATAGGCACTAAAACCTCTCTAGCTTAATGAAGCATTTTTAGTGTCCAGGTCATGCCTCTGAAGTCTCACTGGTCAATTATGTGGCATTTAATTCTGTTTATGCATTCCTTGCTGCACCTCCTCTGGACTGGACCCCTCTGCACTGTAAATTGAATTTTATTCCCCTACAGGAGACTCCTGCAAGGTCTAGCAAGCTATTAACAGAAGAGGAGATAAGAAATTCTAAATTAAACAAACTGTGCAATAAATGAACTATAGACATTAGATAGGAAAACTGTGCAAGTTACATGCAGGGAGGTGTGACTATGTCTGTATAAGTAAAATGGCAGGGGTATGATCTATACAACCAAAACTGCTTCATTAAGCTAAAGTTGTCTGGATGACTATAGTATATTGTAGTAGTTAAATGCAACGGGTGCATTAGTGATTATACAGTGTAGTGGTTATCTTGTCACAGCGTCTTTAATCTCATACTGATCATGAAAGATGTGGGTTTTTGTTGTTTTTTTTTTTTTTAAATTGTCGGTTACTGAAACAAAACATTTTCAGAGTTTGGTAGCAAAAAAAGCTACCCTAGACACCCAAACAATTTTTTTTTTTTTTTTTTGTCTATAATTTGTGTTCTTGGCATTGAACAAACAAGAGTGTTTATATGTGTGTAACAGTCTTTGTGAGCCCCTTCCCGCCCCTATACGCTTATGTATTTTGTGTATTTTCAGGACCCTCAATAATCCTGCTGACCAGATGGATGTCATCGGCGTTGGTGGCATTGACTTTGAGGATAACATAGCTCGATTCTCCTCACGAGGGATGACAACTTGGGTAAGTATTGTGTAAAGGATGAAAATAACATTATCGTACTAATTAAAATGATATGATATTAACTAAATAGAAAAAAAAATGTAATCTATCACAATCCCTATTGATAAAGTCTGAGTTATTAAAGCGGCACTGTCATGCCGAACTTAACTTTCCTCAATCTCTTCCTCTTCTCCTCCTCTCTCAGGATCTGGTCTTCTTTTCTTCCTGTCTTCTTTAGTTTTCTTTAAAATCATAAGACAAAGTAGAGACTCTTTGCCTTATGGAGGATTCCTCCGCTTGACCAGCGGAGGAGCAAAGTGTGCTTAATTTCCGCTGGTCAGAGCAATTTTCCCATAATTCTTACCTTTCCTCTGTGTTCCCGCAATGCTTCCTGTCATTTTAGCCGAAACTGACAAATTGCGTTCTAACTGCATGAGAACAGTATGTTCGTTTGTTTTAGAACGCAATTCGGCACTTTATTCGGATTGCAATTTCATTCGAATGAATTAAACTCCGATCCTATTCTTGCTGTGGCTGCATCTTGCAGCCGCTTAGTAGATAACTCCCTAATTCCCACGGTATCAGGGAGTTATCTACTAAAAGGCTGAAAGACCTAAATTGGGCGGCGGGTGGGGGGCCATAATGATAATGGGGTGGGACCTACTGTCCCACGCTGTGTAAAATGACACAGAGCATTGTGATTGGATGGCTTGAAATCCATCCAATCACAGTGCTCTTTGTCATCTTACACAGCGTGGGAAAATTGACACAGAGATGGATGGATTTCAAACCATCCAATCACAGTGCTCTGTGTCATTTTACACAGCGTGGGAAAGTTCTTTGGTGCCTGTCCCTCCCCCCCCCCAATATAATTTGGCCCCCACCCGGTGACGATAGTAGGTCTCCCCCATATTATCATCATTGCTCCCACCTGCCGCCCAGGAGTGGGGCCCGGGGAGAGGAAGTAGGTCCCGTCCCCCCCCCCATTGTAATTTATGGATAGTAGGTTTTTTTTGTTTTTTATTTTTTAGTGGACATGCCCCTACTCGCGGTATAGCGAGTAGGGGCATTGAGGAGATTTTAATCTCCCTTATATTATTATAGGGGTCATATTGACCCCCATAGAGTGAGGGGGGGGACTGGGGGACTTATGAAGTGGCGGGGAGCACTGCTCCCTGACGCTTCTATCTTTACATATTACAAGGAGGGAGCTGCGTGCCGGTAGCTCCCTCCTTGTAATAAACTGAACAAACTAACACTGATACACAGTGTTAGTTTGTTCGTCTGATTTTTCTATTCATTCATTTGTCTGATGAATGAATAGATGAAATTCCCGTTCGCATGTGCGGGAATCTCAGTGCTATCTAGTGTGGGCACATGACGTGTCCCACAGGGACTTCATCTACCCACACAAAGATGGCGGGGCCCTAATTTATTAGTGCTGTCACAGCAATTATGAAAAGTAGGTTTCTATCCGACTTATGCTGTAGTTAATTTGGAAGATTGGGGCATTGCCCTTTCTACAAACCTATAAATGAAAAGTCCACTTCTAAGAACTGATTTGAAAGGAACACATTCAGGGTTTTGGTAATCTCAGTGAGTTATGAGAAAAATATTATTATTGGCTGTTCTTTAATGCATATACACTGCAAAATTACACTAACACAGCAAATACCCCAATGGAACTTTCCTGTAAATATGACCCCCTGTATCCATCTGGGATTGTCTAATAACCCCCAACTCATGAGGAGAGGTAGGATATTATACCAGATGGGAGCTGCAAAGTGCATTCACCACTTCCTCTCCATTATCCTCTAGATCTTTGTTATTGTGGTTAAAAAGTATTATTTAGGACCAGAGAGTTGCCAAGCCCCCAGCACAAATCCATGCCCTTACTGGTCCTAAATGTCATCCCCTTTAGCCACTCTCCATTCAAATAAAAGCCAAATGAGTGCAATTGCCTTGTATACCTCCATCAGAGATATAAATACATGAGCATTTTTGTTTCCCTGTTCTTCCTGTCTCTGTTATAGGGCAAACATACTATTTAGCATAGGTTCTTGGAAAGCTGGCAGTGATATATTCTTTCAAGATAAATTATACCTCTAACTTTTCACAGGAGCTGCCTGGTGGGTATGGGAGAATGAAACCTGACATTGTCACCTATGGTTCTGGAGTAAGAGGATCTGGCATGAAAGGGGGATGTCGCTCCTTGTCTGGTACCAGCGTGGCTTCTCCTGTAGTAGCTGGAGCTGTGACTTTGCTTGTTAGGTAAGAATACCTGTAATGTTTTTAAAATACTTTTGGAAATATAGAAACAATATTATGGAACTAGAAAAAGTGTAGAGGGATATTAAAAATGTAAAAAGGGGAATGGAAGATTTTAGTTATGAAGAAAGACTAGAAAACTTGAAGTTGTTTCACTTTAGAATTTAAAAAAAAAAAAAAATGTTTTAAAAGGGAATAGGATAACCGTATAAAAATACATGTAGACCTAGTACAAAACAGACCTGTAGCAACTTGTTGAATAATAGGACAAGAGGTCGTATATTTAGACTTGCAGAAAGGTTTTTTGGGGGAGGGGGATTTAGATCACAAACAATAAATATTTATTCTTTGCCTAACTAGGATGTTTTTCTCAGATCATGTACAAAGTTTTAATGTCTCAATGCTTTTTTGGAATATTTGGATTCAAATATATAGTTATATGTGGGGTATGGATTAAACTGCTAATTACTCTATAGAGAAATCTGTCATTTTGGATTTATTTTCCGGTTTGGTGGCAAAATAGAAAATTGCTTTAAAAAAAATAGTACAGAGGGAAGTTGCTGGCATTTTTGAATCTGGACAGTCCATATGGGCAGAATCAGTCCACTATGCAAGTGGTATAGGTTCTGTCTGTAATGGCACAAGTGAGAAAAAAACATTTTTTGAGATTGGGGCATGGACTAAAGGGTTAGTCTTTGTCTATTCTCAGAGATCTCATATTCTCTGTGTTTGCTTCTTTAGGATTAACAATAGAAACACATGTGAAAGATGAACTTGATGGACTTGTCTCTCTTTCAGCGTTTACTGTATATAACAACTTTAATTTCCTTTTTTGAGACTGTAAGAATAGTACACCAATAGAGCAATACATGTGGTCAAAAACCTGTTTCTGCACAAGGCAATAACCGCAATCACAAAACCTAAACTAATGGAATACTATATGCACCTAAATTCTAATTCCATATGTCCATGCCTCCCCATTTTAACCCTGCAGCGTTGCAGAGTTTACCTGCTACTTGTTATAATGACTGATGGTCTCACAAGGTTTCCCTACGGGGAAGCATTGAATTGCCTGAGGTCATTGATTTCTTGAGGAAAGAGGTTGGACTGCATGCCAAAGACCAGCACTGCAAGAGAGAAAAGGCTAGGAAAATCATCTTTTTAACCTTGGCAACGGTGGCACGGTCAGCTAAACTAGAGGGCACTCTAGGTGTTTTTATGTCATTGTAGTTCTTTTTAAAAGTTTCAATAATTAAAAAAAAAAAAAAATTTTATTCTTCCCCTCAAGCACGGTTCAGAAGAGAGAAATGGTGAATCCAGCCAGTATGAAGCAAGCTCTCATTGCCTCTGCTCGCAGACTTCCTGGAGTTAACATGTTTGAGCAAGGGCATGGCAAGTTGGACCTTTTGCGAGCCTACCAGATTCTCAATAGCTATAAACCACAAGCCAGGTAAATCTTAGGCTTAGTTATTTTGGGGGGTGTTTATTATTCATATTCAGTTTTCAGTTTATTTTTAATTTATTTAATAATGACTTATTTTGCTGCATATGCCAATTCTTTCTGCCCCACCCATCCTGCAACTTTTTCCTTTTTTTTCTTCAAAGATACTGCTGTACATGATAACATGAAATATTTAGGGTGTTTTAGTTCAGCAGAAAGCTGAGAATTGAGTTACAGCTGGCAATCTCTTGCTGTGCCCATAAAACACTTCTTATTGGATAAGCTCTGCAGTTATAATGAAAATTAAGTGTGATGAGACACTTCCTGGTTTAGTGAGAGCTGTTTGCAGAAGTTGCATAGCCTGTAAAAATTTCAGCCACACAAAGACTTCAATTCTGGCATCTATTTTTAGTTTGGTTTCTAATTAGTCTTACTAAAAGTGTCCACTTAACCTTTCTCTTCTACTGCCCATTGTACTGTCATATTTGTTTAACCCCTTAAGGACATGTGACATGTCATGATTCCCTTTTATTCCAGAAGTTTTGACCAAACAGAATGCTTTGCTGATGAATTATTTGATGTACTGAGGTATCTGTGCCATAATTAGTCTAATGCCTACCTGCTCATGTTGTTTGTTTTTACAGTTTGAGCCCTAGTTACGTGGACCTGACAGAATGCCCATATATGTGGCCCTACTGCTCTCAACCAATATACTATGGAGGAATGCCCACTATTGTAAACATCACCATTCTTAATGGCATGGGAGTGACTGGGAGAATTGTAGACAAGGTAAGGCCTCAAGTTGGGGTGATAAACCCATCAAGATACTATTCATATGTATATATTGAAATAACATGAGATAAACATAGAAATGTTATGTACAGTCTCACTTCTTTTTTTATAATACATTGTTAGTGTTCTGCTTTATAACATAACACAATTTGAAGCATATACACTATGTAAGTGTGGCATGTCCATGGTATTTTTTACAGCGTGTGAGTTATATATGATTTTTATATAATTATATACTCGCTTATTTATTTTTAAACCGTAAGAGGTTAGATATTTTTGATGCTACAGTGCTCCTTTTCGGTTTTACCAGGAATACCCTTGCTCCATCCATCGATAAGTAGTCCAGCATTTTTAGCACAGGTCTTGCTGGAGGCGCACATGGCCTCAACCCCTGTTTCTGATCTGGTTAGCTCCACAGAGCTAAATAGGACCACACAGAACAGGGCTCATTGGCTAAGACTGTCAGCTAAGTGCTCTTAATCAATGAATGCAGTACTGTATCAACAAGTCTTTGCTCTGCAGTAATATCCAACTTTTTCTGCAGAAAAAAAAAAAACAGATGTGGAGTGGGTGCTTAGGGGACCCAGCTAAGTTGTCAAATCATACTTAAACTGCTTGACTACTTATGCTAGGACAAAGCAATGGAACTCTAGGCACTATAACAAGTAAGGAGGGCTAAAGTGGTTAAGGTACTTGTGGTGTTTCTTTAACGCAGCTCTGTCACTTTGTCTTCTGTATCTTTCTTGCGCTTGACAAAAAGTCAGCTACCGCTTGTCATGCTTTGTGAAGCCTTCGCCATCACTAGTTACTGCTGAGGGGGAAAAGGCTCTGTCTATGGAGGGTCTCGCAGGATCCTCCATAGACATCATTGTTGTACTGTTGCACATGCACAAGAGTGCAGAACAGACATCGGCTCCTTATAAATGAAGTGCCAGTAACTGACGAGGACGAACAGGAAGATGATGGCGGCGGCCGCGAGGTGTGAGTTCAGGTAAGTAAAATACACCTTTGTTTGCTCCATGGCTACCACACTGGAAGTGGCAAAGTTACCATATGGAAAATATGCGAAGACTCCAGAAGGTGGCAGAGCTGCTCTAACTTTAGTCAAAATATTAAACACACAAGACACTACACGTCTGAAAAGCAAAGACTTTTACTACTTAAAACTTTTGACTTTATGTGACGCGATTGCTTTAGAATTTCTATCAGATAAGTGCCGTTTATATTATTTAATATGGTCTTGGAATGAAGAATGCATTCTAGATTTAAATCAATGTTACAAATGTTGCAAGATATGTGAGATAATATAATTGTTAGTTTTATTTTTCTTTTGCATTTTGAATCTTGTCCGACTCGAATATTCCTTAATTACTGATTGTAATCACATTCTTCTTTTTAAGCCTGACTGGCAGCCGTACCTGCCACACAACGGTGATAATATCGAAGTGGCTTTCTCGTACTCTTCTGTGCTGTGGCCCTGGTCCGGTTATCTTGCAATTTCAATCTCTGTAGCAAAAAAGGCAGCCTCGTGGGAAGGCATTGCTCAAGGCCATGTAATGATCACAATTGCTTCTCCGGATGAAAGTGAGGTCTGTATTTTAAATCTAAATGATCATTCATAGGGTTTAATGGAGGCCAATTAAAAGTAGTCTTTTATTTCATGTGTGGTTTTTTTTGTTTTTGTTTTTTTTTGTCTCACATCTTAGGATAGATACATGGATTGTTCTTATTGACAGAAAGTTAACCATTTTTATTATTTAGTAAATAAACTGTCACTGTTATTCACTAAACTCAGAATTTTAATAAATTAAGTACACTTGGCAAAATTAGGGCTCTCACCCTGTTTGAACGCTTACCTGGTGTCTGCTGTGCACAGGTCGCTGCCTCCATTTCTCCATTGAGAGCTGGAAGTCTGCATGGAGATTCCATAGGATCTTTTGAAGCCCTTCTGATATAATTTGCTAAAAGTCTCAGTTTAGTAGTGGATAGCAAAATTCAACTATGCTTTTGCTAGTGCACAGACAAAGAAAACACACCAGATGCAGGTGAGGAGTATATTGATTATGCTAGGTATATCTTGCAGTGTTTTAAAGTAAAGCAGTCACTTGAATATCTTGTGTTGTAGCATGTTGATTAAATGGATCAGGAGCCCTTCTGATAGTGTTGGATTGATTGAGACTGAGCCTTTCAATGTTCAGAGTTTATGAATTTTGTTAATACTACTAAAATAACAACCTAACCATGATTAGCTCCCAATTCTATTACATAGCACGTTCTGGTCATCCAGATGTGTACTTAAGCAGCAAGATAAGGCAGTGTTTACAATGCCCTCAGCTTGCAGGGACAGACTACATGCCCCAGAACCGCTACATTAAGTTGTAGTGGTCCGGATGCCTATAGTGTTCATTTATTGTATTGCTTTTACAACATAATGCTGTGAAGTCTATCCTTCCAGTGCAAAATTGTAGGAATAGGATTCTATGGTTACGTGACATTTGCATCATACAGTATCAGCTGTGGAGTTCAGGGATTCAGACAGGGAATAAGAGGCAAAATGGAACTTCACTACAGTGTTCTGTCTTTGCAGTGCATGCAGAGTTGTTATTATGATGGTTGTTCAGACCAAATAGCCAGCGTATTGCCAAGCATTACATTTTAATTAGTGTTATCTGATGCTGAAAAAATGTTTAAAGTGAATATTATATTTAGGCCATCGCAAAGTAATAACAAATATAGGTTATCTCATTGATTTACAGCAGGGGTGCCCAAAAGGTAGATCCCCATATGTTTTAAAACTACAGCTTCCATAATGGTTTGTCATTCTAAAGGTGTGCATCATGGGAGTTGTAGTTTTACAACCTCTGTGGATCTTCCTTTTGGATAACTCTGGGTTACAGTGAGATTTTGCTTCCATGGTATTCTTTGCCCCTTATTAATGTTCCCTGAAATAAACAGCATTTCTGATGAAATGTGAGCTAACCAGGGGCAAAAATAACTAGAATAAAATGGAGCGTTATCCATGTTGTTGGAGGTATTTTTACATTGACCTCTTTCTCTGTAATTAAGCTTATATAATAAGGTGTCACTGTCAGCAAAGTGTGGGTGTGATCTTGGTACACATAAACCACACGCACCCATCTCTGCATAATCTGATGTGCTTTGAAGTATTAGTCCATGCCAGGTATGTCAGGGAAAGTCTTAATAAGTAGTCCTTGTCTTAAATTTCATCATCTATTCTTGTTTCTAATAACACTGTCATAATGTCTTATCTGGGTCCAATGAAGGTGAGCTCAACCTTTCTCTACTTGCAGTTAAAGAATGGAGCAGAACAATTCTCCACTGTAAAGCTGCCAATTAAAGTAAAGATCATTCCTACACCACCACGCAGCAAAAGGGTCCTGTGGGATCAGTACCACAATTTAAGGTACCCACCAGGCTACTTCCCACGAGACAATCTTAGGATGAAGAATGACCCACTGGACTGGTGAGCGAGCATTCATCCTTTGTTTTTGTTTTTTTGAGAGCCTTATTGTGTGTGGGGACAGCTCTTTAACCCCTTAAGGACACAGCTTCAGAAGCTTGTCTTACACACAAGCCATTTTTGCTTTTTTTGCTGTTTGTGTTCATACGCAATATGCATCTCTATCATTTATTGCACAAACACATATTATATATCGTTTTTTAGAGGGCAAACAGGGCTTTAATTTGATGTCACATATACATAGATACATTCTCATTAATTATAAAAAAAATGCCAAAAACGAAAAAAAAAATTTCCCACAGTTTTGGCAATATTAGCATGTGCATAATATGTCCACCTTAGAAAAAGTAATTCAAAATAAATTCATTTATGTGTCTTGATTTATAGAGTACATCATATGTATAGGATTTCAGCTTATTTTGAAAGTTACAGGTCACAAAATACAAGGACTAAAATAAAATTGCAATTTGCAACAATTTTAGTAGTTGGTATGTTTGTCTTGTAGGTTTAGTAGCCATTACAGAAAAAGAATTTGCCACACAAAACTATATATTTATATAAAGTAGTCATCACAGGCTATTTACCTAAGGTTAGTTTGACACTTTTTACATAGTTATTTCATCGCTGATCTCTGCTAAATATTGGAGTAAAATAGTGTTGTTTCTTTCTGTGTTTTGGAATATACATATATAACAAGGTTTTTGTAATGTGTATTTCGTAAAGCTGGTGTGTGATATTCCTGCACAGAACCCCATATTGTGTTCAGCTACATCTGCGGAGTATAACGTTACCCCCATTGTATGCCTTTGACACTTTTCTGTAAAGCTACAGTGCCATATAAGAGACAAGGCTGTTTCAGCTTCTATAGTTAGAATTTTCGTTGATGGATTTGTCGAGCCTATGTCTCATTTTAGGGTATTATAGCAGTGTGACTGTTCAAATAACCCCACAAAGGGCTTTCATTTGATAAAGCAGAAGCCCCAGGGTATCTTATATAGTGTATATTGTGCCTTAACTTGTCACCGTTTTTTCACCAATTTATGTCAATGTTTGTGATGAGGGGGGGGGAAGAAATGGCATTTTTACATTTATGTTGCCTTTTGTATTTCTTACACTTTATATGTACCACTGTCATAAAAATCCCCAAATTATGCTCAGTTGCATCTTCTGAGTAAAACAATATGCCCAATGTATGACCTAGACACTATTTTGTGAAGTTATAGTGCTGTAAAAGAGACGTGACAAGTTCAGGTTTTTAAGTGTGAATTTTCATGGAGGGTTTAGATGCGACTGTGTCCCACTTTGGAGCACTTGATCAGGCTACATGTTCCAGCTACACATAAAGACATACAATTTCTTAAAGAAGACATCCCAGGGTATTTCAAAAGGCATATTTTGAACCTTAGCGTGTGATCATTTTTCCGCTAGCTTGTACCAAGTGTGGTAATAGGGTTTTTTCTGCCTTTGTGATACACAAACTGAGTTTGCACAGTATATTTTGCAAACCTTATGCGTGCTACGACTGTATACTACATCATATGTTGGTCAGCTATGTCGTCTGAGTACAGCAATACCCCCGTATGTACCTTTGCCAGGTATATGTGGATGTTGAAGGGGCACATTTGAGACGCATCATTTCAGTTTTTTTTCTAACGTTGAAGTTTTACGCTGTGTCCAGCTTCCATTTTGGATTAGTTTAGCTGGTTGGTTATTCAAACTTCCCCACAAACACATACTATTTATAAAAATATACACGCTTGGATAATTCAAAAGGCATATTTTGAACCTTAGCATGGGATAATTTTTTCTCTGGTTTGTTCCAGGTGTAGTGGTAATGAGCATTTTTAAATGTGTTTTTTTTTAATACTTTTTAAAACTTTTTTTTTTACTTTTTAAAAAATTTAAACTTTCCCCCTTTTTTTTTTTTTTTAAACAGATTTAACATTTTTATAAACTTTTTTTTTTTTTTAACGTTAACCCCTAACTAGCAGTAAGCAGCATTAACCGTAAATTCCCTAATTTCCCATAACTCCCACCCACCCTAGCTAGCAAAATATATAATTTAAAAATATTTAAATTAATTAAATAAATTGAACCCCTGAGGGTTAAAAAAAAAAAAAAAAAATTGGATCACAGTATAATACTATACTATATACACTAAATACTATAATTTATTTTGATCACAGGTAGTGATCAACTGGCAGGGAAGGGATTTTTTTTTTATTTATTTTTTTTAACTTAAAGCATTTTTAAAAAGTTTAAAAACTTTTTTTTTTTTACGTTAACCCCTAGCTAGCCTTACACTAAATTCTCCACTAACTTCCACCCACCCCAGCTAGCTAAAGATATCATTTTAATATATTTAATTATTAAAATTAACCCCTAAAGGTTACAAAAAATAAAAGTTGACCCTCAGGGGATTAAAAAAAAATCACAGTAAAATGTAGTCCCTGCCAGCTGATCACTGTAGTCTGTGATCAATTGGTAGGGAAGGGTTTAATTTTTTATTTAAAATGTGTAAGGGGGGGACGGGTGGTATTTTAAACTATCTTTATTTTTTTTACACAGGGAGAAGATCACTTCTGATCCGTCTCCCTGCATTTCACACTGGACGCGGAAGAGCAGGGAGGTGGATCAGAAGTCCCTGCCGCACATGTGCTCGCTCTGACAGCCTGTCAGAGCGATCACTGCTGCAGATACAGCGCGATCGGGTGCTTCCGGCTGCTTTGAATACAGAGGCAGACCGGAGGAGCGTGATCACGGCAATCTGGAGTAAACTTTAACGCATGATGGACCCGGTCCGTCATCCAGCATTAACTGCTTCCCCGGCATGACGGACCGGGTCCGTCATTCGTCACTAAGGGTTAATGACATTTTAAGAACTTTTTTTGTTGTTAAAGTAAATATAAACTCAATGTGTTCACACTGCTTTCAGACACTATAACAATATTCATATTCTGACCTCTGCATTGGAGTGGGCATGTACAGAAAGTTCACTGCAATTGTTATCTTTGATGCTTTAATGACACAAATTGATTATATATAATGAATAAATTAATCTGCACCAAAATACTGCATGAACTCTCTCTTTTAAAGGCATCATAACATTTCTGTTCCTTTCAAGGAACACTATAGTGTTAGGAATAGATGTTTGCATATCTAACACTACAGTGTTATACTACCTATTTAGACTATTGGGGCTCCATATGTTATAGGGGAGAGCAGATTTACTTTAATTTCCATGGTGGTCTGGTCTCCCTGTTGTCTCCAGTTCTGATGTCAGCCAGTCCAATGCTTTCCCAGAGGGAAGTACTGGAAGGCTAGCTAGTGTGCATGCACGACATGTGCCAAGCTGCAATCAGTCATCTAGAGGTGTACTTAAGCAGCGATATAAACACTTCCTTTTCTCAGAAAAGGCAGTGTTTACAATGCACTCAGCTTGCAGGGACAGACTACATGCCTCAGAACCACTACATTACGTTGTAGTGGTTCTGATACCTGTAGTGTTAATTTTATTGCTTTTCTAACATAATGCTTTGAAGTCTAAATGTATGTCATTGGCCCTGACCAATCCATATCCTGTCTTGTCTTCCTGTCTTGTCTGTCTTCCCTGTTTTATTTAGAAGCCTGCATATATGTTTGCCTTCTCATAACAGACATGATGTTTATAATGAATTGTCTACTTTTCAGGAATGGAGACCATGTTCACACCAACTTTAGAGATATGTACCAGCACTTAAGAAGTATGGGCTATTTTGTAGAAGTGTTGGGATCTCCATTCACTTGTTTTGATGCCAGTCAATATGGTAAGATCAAGTATTTGTTACTCATAAGCTTGTTGTAAAACAATTCTTAACATTTCTTACTGTGTTCCCTACTACCAGATTTCAGTAACTGCAGCTTGTTCTCCACATAAAGTCATTCCTTGCCAAGAGTAACTAGTGGGCTATATACCCCTCGCAGCTAACTCCTTATCAGTAAATGCAGTCCTTTTGATAGACTTATAAACATACTATCCTTAGTGTTACTCTAAACAACACAACCACTGACAAGTGGTTATGGTGGAAATTCCACCTGCACACACAACTGTGGTCTGAGTTTGCTCTCCACCCAGGACAGAGAAGTGAGCTGTGTATAAACGGATATTGGCAGCATTATAACAGCAATCCATTCTTAGAGGTGTTAGTCATCCTAACAATAAGTGACCCCTTCCTGCAAGTTAAAGGACCACTATAGTGCCAGGAAAACATACTCGTTTTCCTGGCACTATAGTGCCATTGAGCTGAAGTGGTCTGGGTGCCTATAGTGGTCCTTTAAACTACGTATCCCATAACCTAGGGTTTACAAAATGAGGGTTGCTTCTTAAGGGAGGGTACATGATGGGATACAGTACATGTGGGTGTTTTTTTTCCGTTTTTGCATTCTCTATTATGATCCTGTAACCACACAGGGTACTTTGTCCTTGCAAATAACATAGTCCTCCAGGGTATTGAATAGGCACAGTTTTGTTAAAAATAGATCATTTATTGTACAATCTAATTAAAGAGGCAGCATTAGAAATAATCACCAAATTCCTACAAACAAAATCTTAGCCCATCTGAGCTCCAGTGGCGTCTCTAGGATTCATTTTAGGGAGGCACATGGTAGGCCAGGGACAAATGTAGGGGGGCAGTTATAAAACATGTATGTATGCAGTGGCGTACACATGACCCATGGGGCCCCGGTGCAAAAATTGATCCGTGGGCCTCCCCCCTCCCCGCGCGCTTACTCAGTGCGGGTCTGGGTCGCAACACATGGTGGCGGGCACCTGGTCGCAGGGGTTGCAGGGCTGCGACCCCGCGACCGCGGTATGCACTCACACTTAAAGGACCACTACAGACACCCAGATCACATCAGCTCAATGAAGTGGTCTGGGTGCCAGGTCCCTCTAGTTTTAACCCTGCGGCTGAAAACATAGCAGTTTCAGAGAAACGGCTATGTTTCACTGAGGGTTAATCCAGCCTCTGGTGGCTGTCTCATTGACAGCTGCTAGAGGAGCTTCCGTGATTCTCACTGTGAAAATCACAGTGAGAAGACACTGAACGTCCATAGGAAAGCATTGAGTAATGTGTAAGGGGGGGACGGGTGGTATTTTAAACTATCTTTATTTTTTTTTACACAGGGAGAAGATCACTTCTGATCAGTCTCCCTGCATTTTCTTTCCTATGGGCGGTTTAAATGTGCGCGCGCCTCTTGACGCGCATGTGCATTTCGGTGCTGAGTGGCAGACACTGGGGAGTCCGACGCTGGAGAAAGGTAAATGCTGAAGACACACACACACACACTCTCACGAACAGACACATACACACTAGCTAACAGACACACATTTACTGACAGAGACACACTCAGCGACAGACATACATACACTTTCACTGACAAACACACACTCACTAACAGACATCAAACACACTCAGTAACACATACACAGTAACACTCACTAGCAGACACACACCCAATAACACACATTCACTGACACACTAACACACACTCTAACACACACACATTTTTTTATTTTTTTATTTAATCCCCCCAGCCTCCTTACCTTTTGGAGTGCTGGGGGGATTCCCTGGGGTCCAGTGGTGCTGCTGGGTGGGTGGCCGGGCAGGCGGGTGCGCGAGGGAGCACTCAGTGCTTCCTCTTCAGCTCCCTCGCGCGCCGCGTAGGGATGCCGGAGCCGGAAGATGACGTCATCTTCCGGCTCCGGTATCAGTGCGGTGCGCGAGGGAGCTGAAGAGGAAGCACTGAGTGCTCCCTCGCGCGCCCGCCTGCCCGACCGGCCACCTGCCCGCTGGGGTCAGCAGGGCCAGCCTCGGGGGCCCCTGGGGTGGTCGGCTCCTGGGCCCCCCAGGGGAAGAGGCTGGCCCTGGGCGTACATACCGGGTCGCAGGGGTGGCCGGGCCCCCTGGTGGGCCGGGCCCGGTCGCAGCCGCGACCCCTGCGACCCTGGTATGTACGCCACTGTATGTATGTTTGTGTGTATATATACACACGCGCCCTTAATCCCTCTGCAAACTGCAGTCTTAGCCATGTAGGTAATGTGTCACACCTTAGATGTAGCCGCACTGTCCGTTCAGCTCGCATCTACCGCATGGATTGAGGAATCCATGTCTTTCTTGCCCCCTTCTCCCCTGCGATCCATGTCTCTGTTCTTCTCCCTTTCATTTATTTTCTCCCCCCTTCTTCCATGTCGTGAAGGTCATTTGTATTGTATGCAGTGTGTGTATTGAATACATTGTGTGTGTGTGTGTGTGTGTGTAGTGCAAGCAGTGTCTGTGCTTGTGTGTTGGATAAGTGCTGGGGAGGTGAGCTGTTTAAATTAAAATGGGCTTAACCCCCCTCCCTGCCTCTTACCTGTGGCCTGGAAGGGGAGGGACAGTGTGTAGGAAGGTGACAGTAGACAGACTCACTGATGTGACACATTAACAGACAGACACATGCAAATTCACTGACAGACACACAAACACACACACACACATTCTCTCATACACATTCATAAATTCCCAATATTATTATTTTAATTTGTCCACCCAGTCTCCCTACCTTTGAGAGTGCTGGAGTGGATCTGTACCTTGGGTCCAGTGGGGCAGCTGTGAGCCCATCAGAGGCGGTGAGGGAACTGTAATCCTCCTGCTCTGCTCCCTCGCGGGATGTCTACCAATGCAGGGAGCCACAATATGACTTCATATTCCAGCTTCCGGCATCAGTAAATGGCATGCAAGGGAGCAGAGCAAGAGGATTACAGCTCCCTTGCTGCCTCCGGTGTGCTCACAGCTGCCTGCATTGGTGGTCCATAAACTGCTTCCTCCAAAACAGGAGGAATCACTGGGGACGTCCATGCGGGCGCCAAGGATAGATAGGGCCAGGGCCGGCCAAAAATCACACACACAGGCTGTGTGATGCATACACAGTTATAGTGACAGAGGTACAAAGACACAGAGGCAGACAGCCACACACAAAGAGGCAGAAAGTCTCAAACACAGTTACAGTCACACACTCAAGTCACACAAAGGCAGACAGTCCCACACATTTACAGTCACACACAGCCACACACACAGAGGCAGTCTCTCACACACCCATTTACAGTTACACATAGGTACACAGCCACACACACACACACACTCTTATAGTCACACACAGGCAGTCAAACACAGAGGTCAGACAGTCACACTCAGAGTCAGACACAGCCACACATACCTTACTATCAAGGTTTAAACTAAATAAAACACAGGTTTCACCAATCTTATAGAATGTCAGAGTTGATACTGATTGCAGCACCCTTAACCAACACATGCATTTGCACTTGAATGACTGCAGCTCCCTTAGCCATCACTGGCACCTCCACGTCAGTGGCTGCTGCTCTCCCTAATATCTTCACATCAGTAACTGCAATTTTCCCATCCCACATTCACAATTGAGAAACTGTCAATTTCTTACTCATCACAAGACCTTCTTGTTTCAGCCAGTGCAGCTCCTTTTATTCTTCTTTTCAAATGTATAATATTAAGGTAGTCTGGGGGTGTGAGCTGTAAGAAATATCTGTGCTGTGTTCTCCAGGAACTCTGCTGATGGTTGACAGCGAAGAAGAGTTTTTCCCAGAGGAGATATCCAAACTGCGCAGAGATGTTGGTAATGGGCTCTCGTTAATTGTGTTCAGTGACTGGTACAATACGTCTGTCATGAGGAAGGTCAAATTCTATGACGAGAATACCAGGTACGCTCAGATTAAAATCAAGTAATTGTCACTATATACCATGAAGGTATTTGTCACTTTGCCATGAATATCTCTCTCATTAGACAATTGCCACGTTGCCTGCATAGACCCCTGAGTCGTTTGGCATCAACAGTGCAAACCGTTATATGCTCCTAATTCCACTGTGTTTTTCTGTTCTGTATGCATCACCCTGTCCCTCTAGTCTTTTCATTGTCATTAGCAGGCAACCCACGGACATTTTTGTAGCAAAGTATTGGCGGTCTGTAATTGAGAAAGCCACAAACTGCTATAGAAAGCCACAAACTGCTTTTTATAGTAACCAACCTCATAGCTTGTATAAAATATGCATAACCCTAGTATGATTAACATTTTAAGAAGCAATGTTGGCATACCCAACATATTTCATTTATTAAAGGGACACTCAAGCACCACAACAACTTCAGCATAAAGAAGTCGTTTTGGTGTATAGATCCTGCGCTCTCACAGTTTAATTCTCTACTATTTAGGATTTAAATAACTTTCTTTACTCAACCCTAGCCACACCACCCCTGGCTGAGACTCTTACACACTTTCTTAAAAAGATAGAAAAACTGCTTCCCTTATAGCACAGTGTGTTTAATCTAGATTTTATTCTCTCCTGCTATGAAAATAGCTTGCAGGAGCTTCATGTCTGTGATTTTAAAGTTCAATTCACAGAGCAGGTAACAAAAATACCTAACGTAAATACATTGTGCTATAAGATCTGATTAAGAATGCATCAATTTATTTTTTTCACAGAGGATGTGAGAGTTACAGCCATGGGAATTTGTGGCCATGTCTGCATAAATAGAAGACAGAGGGCTTTAACTCCTAAAAAAAATAGCAGAAAATTGAGCAGTGAAACTGCAGGAGCATGATCTATTCACTAAAGCTGCTTCGTTAAGCTAAAGTTGTTATAGTGCTTAGTTTGTACAGCTGCATTCTGGATCCTGCTTCCACGTGGTTTGAAAAATCATTAGTCTGTATTTGTGGATCACATTCCCCTTTTTTGCATCTTGAAAGTGTATCTCTCTAACACCCCTGATAACTTTTTTTTTTTTTTTTGACTCGGATATTGACATTTTTTTAATTTTATTTTTTAAATAAAATGTGCAGCTGTTTTGAATACTTAATATATACCCTAAAGATTCTAAGAATATACATTCTTCTTTATAGCTCTGTCTGGGTACATGCCAGTCTTTGTTAATGACTGAAATTTGTTACCTTGCATGTGACACTATTTGTTTTTATCCAGACAATGGTGGATGCCAGACACGGGAGGTGCTAACATACCCGCTCTGAATGATCTGTTATCAGTCTGGAGTATGGCCTTTAGTGATGGCATATATGAAGGAGATTTTACAATGGCTAATCATGACAGTAAGTATATTTAATATATTATATATTGAAGATTGTGATGAGGAGCTGCAAAATATCTTACTTATTACATGTTGTATTTTAGTGTACTATGCATCTGGCTGCAGTATTGCCAAGTTTCCAGAAGATGGTGCAGTTATATCACACACTCTCAAAGACCAAGGTACACAGATTCTATTCATCCTATGTGAAGTCTGGCACACATGTATGCATTAATGTATATTAAAATCCACTTCAAAGCCATTCCTGTACATACACAAAGCTTTGCTTTAAGCATCCCCACCAGATCAATATTTCAATATCTCTCTACTGTTGCTTAACTTTCGATATCTGTTCTCTCTACTCTACTGACACAACAGTTTTTATTTCTTATCACTGGGATGAATGTATTTCTGTGTCCTACTCTTGCTTGTAAACTATGATCCCCACTCCCTCAGTCCAAATTATGTCCTCACTTGTTCTGTGCCAGGAATTGAAGTTTTGAAGCAGGAAACTATTATGGTTGAAAATGTGCCTGTTCTTGGACTGTATCAAACCCCATCTGAAGGAGGAGGTAGAATTGTGCTTTATGGAGATTCGAACTGCTTAGATGACAGCCATCGACAGAAAGGTATCATCACATTTAGCAGATTCTTTCTATATACAACATCCCCTGTTCTTTGAGTGTATATTGCTCATGTTAAAAGGACGCTATAGTCACCAGAACAACTACAGCTTATTACATTTGTTCTGGTGAGTAGAATCATTCCCTTAAGGCTTTTTGCTGTAAATACTGTCTTTTCAGATTACCGCCTAGGAATAACTCCTGTGGCCACTCCTCAGATGGCTGTTAGAGGTGCTTCCTGTGTCAATGCTGCACAGTGTGACTGTGATTCAGTGTCTCCACCCTCTGCATGCAGACACTGAACTTTCCTCATAGAGATGCATTGATTCAATTAATCTCTATGAGGAGATGCTGATTGGCCAGGGCTGTGTTTGACTTGTGCTGGCTTTTTCCCTTATTTGCCTCCTTGACAGTCTCAGCCAATCCTATGCGGAAGTATTGTGATTGACTCAGACTACCACTTCTGATGAGGCCAGCAGGCAGATCAGAGTCATACAGGGACAGAGCCAGCAGCTGCAGACTTGAATACAAGTAAGATTTTACTATACTTAGAGAGGCAAGGGGGCTAGATGGTGGTTTTAACTCTATAGGGTTAGGAATACATGTTTGTGTTCCTGGCCCTATAGTGTTCCTTTAAACCTCTGATCGTACTCCTTCATGCATATAGTCCTGCTCTGTTAATATTCTCTGGTCTAACTAAACCACAAAAGAATTAGGAGATTGGTTGTTCTCAACCTGATTCACAGCACACAGTGATCTTTCACACGTACACATAATCACAGCTGTGTAGAAATTTTGAGCTCTGCTCTGTGAGCATTATATATGTATGGTCAGTAGAACTGAGAATTTATGTGTGTGTGTGTAAATAGGATTGTAGTCAAGGATATGTAATAAAAAAAAACTTTAGCTTTATAACTCTCCCCCCCCCCCCCAAGTTTCAGATTAAAATTTTATTTTTTTAATTCCTTGAGTGCTGTCCTATTTTTATTCTATTTCTATTTTACACAAAAAAATATATATTTTTTTTTTGTGTAAAATAGAAATATATACACACACACACACACGCACGCACGCACGCACGCGCGCGCGCGCCAGATCTTTAACTTACCTCTGCTGCATTATTCTACATCGTTGAAATAGCATTTACTGGAGTGAAGAAACAAAGATATTCCACTTTTCTGGAAGTGATAGCTCCTCTTTCTAATAGGTTGATGCTCCGTTTTACAACTCAATAGTGGGAAAACGAAAAGTGCCGTGCTATATCACTAATCACTTTTACGGAAAGTCATATATATGTTTAGTAATAAAATTAGAAGAAAACTAAGCACTATTATGCCTTATAGCTTCACTTTAAATCTTCAGTAGGAGCCTGGATATCTTGCTTGGTTTCAGCATTATGCAAGCTGTGCAAGATGGTTTCCGCACACAGATCAATAGGAAAATAACTGGTTGTTAGAAAAGAGAATAAAATACATTTTGAGCAGTAAACCTTAGATGACTTGATCGAACATCTGCAAGTGACTGTTGGTATCTGCATGTGTCAGGCTGCGAAGAAAGATTATTGGAATCACTGAGCGCAAGCAGAAACCTGAATTGAGGTTAGGCAGGTTAACAGAAAGATGTGCAGCCAATGGGCAATCAGATCTGTCCTGCTTTCATCAATTGCCTACTGTCCTATAGAACTAAACTAGTGTACAGAGACAGACAAGTCATAAGTAAAAATGTTGGCATACATTATTGCACAAATGGTGAAGTAGTTTATGAAACAGTGTCAATTTTACAGAATGGCTTAGAGGCTCAGATTTGGAACAGCAATATAAAAGTGGATGCGTAATGCACAAATCGTCAAGCTATCTAGAAAGTTTTTATAATGCTTTCCCGTTTTTTATATATAATGATTAAGTGGATTTTTAAAGCAGTTGGGAATAGACGGGGCCTAAAGCTGTTACATATCATTTTGAGAACAGAGAAAAGCTGCGGCCAGTTATGTATTTTGATGCAGTGATACATAGAGTTCTAACTTTCCCAGGGAATATGACTGCCATGTTGGTATACTCAGAATACTATCAATATAATCATAGGATTCCTATTTCATTGCTGGCCAATCCCTCATTATACTGCTGTCCAAATACATTGTTCTAGTAGTCATGCTAGTTTTTGCATACATGTCATACAGTGTTTATTTGACAGATTGTTTCTGGATGTTGGATTCCTTGCTCCAGTATACAGCCTATGGGGTGATGCCACCAAGCCTCAGTCACTCTGAGAACCGTCAGAGACCACCATCTGGGCTAGGAGTACTTCAACCTGAGAGAATGGAAGGTAAGGCATCCTCTGGGTAATTTGTTTATCACACTGGTCAAGTTTATGACAATTTTTAGAGTGAAATGCACAACCCATAACAAAACGGTTAAAGTGCAAATATACTGCACATGGTTTTTATGCAAGCTCAACATTTTAAGAAGACATGTAAACTTTTTTTTCTAAATTGTCTGTGGGCACACCTGGCTGCAGGAAGCTATGTACAACAAGGTAAAACAAACATAATTATTCACCAATCTACACATGTATCAGTATTGGTGCTCAGCGCTTCACTGTCCCAAAGTACATCTAACCTATTTATTTATTTATTTTTCCCAGAAGTCACAAGGGTAAAATCTTGATTACTTTTATTTGTTAGGCTCTTTTGACTCTTTCCTCTGCAAAAGTAAACTTAAATACCCTCATAACCACGCTGTCAAGAAAACCAAAACACCCCTTTTACACTTTTAATGCTCTACTTTACCCTGTCGCTGCTCCTCCGCTACTAACTTGACCACTACAAACGTCGTTACTCACTTCACTGAGAAAATTTCTGCAATTTCGTACCTCCCTACCAATACTAAACAAAACCCTGCTCCCGCAATGCCAGAAGAGGTTTCTGCTCTGATTCGAGTCTCCAGCTTTACCACTCGTTCCCTCAATCTTATTCCCTCACATCTCACTTGCGATTTGTCTCCTTCTCTTGCTCTGCAAATCATAAAATCTTCAATCTCTCCCTTTCCTCTGGCATATTACCTTCAGCTTTCAAGCATGCAACCATCACCCTAATTCTTAAAAACAAAACAAAAAAAAACAAACAAACAAAAAAGCCCAACCTTGACTCTAACTCCTCATTCAACTACCATTTGCCTCCAAGATCCTCGAGAGAGTTGTGAATTCTGTGCTCGTCACTGTCGAAATGGCTCTAACCCAAAGTATCCAATGATTTAATTGCTGCTAAATCCAGTGGTATAAGAGACAGTGCTCTTTCTGCTTAATTCTCCTACCTCTTCCAGCTCTTTTTCTTTTCAGCGTCTTACGTGTTCCTAGCTTGCCACATTATTCTTTAATGACTGTGGTGGGAAGGCTCAACTTCCTGTCTGCCTACACCTCCCATGCCTTGCTGCTCCGTCAGTCGTTACACTGGCTTCCTGTAAGATTTAGGGATCAAGTTAAGTCTGCTGCTTACTTGCAAATCTGTACATAGCACTGCTCCTAACCAGTGACGTCGCTTGGTGGGGACCAGAGGGGGCCATGACCCCCCCCCTGCATCATGCTGTGCCCCCCAAATGCCAGCAACTTGCTGGCCATTCTATTCCCTCGGGCTGTAACAGTCTGTTACAGCCCGAGGGAATGCAGGACAGAGCAGCTGGAACTGTGCTGGGGCCGGAGGGAGCACTGACAGGCTCCCAGGCACAGGCCCCACCCCCAAATGAAGCCCCACCTCCCACACATAAGCCCCACCCCTGTCGTTAAGGAGCAGACCTTGCTGCTGCTGGAAAGGCCAGAAGATGGCTGTCTGACCGCTCAGCAGCAGCCTCCAGTGACAGGTAGGCTTGATATGCGTGTGTGTGTGTGGACTCGGCAGTCTGCGTGGACTCGGCAGTCTGCGTGTCTGTCTGTGTGTGTGTGTATGGACTCTGCAGTCTGCGTGTCTGTGTGTGTTTATGGACCGGGCAGTCTGCGTGTCTGTGTGTGTTTATGGACTCGGCAGTCTGTATATATGTGTGTGTATACATGTATAAATCAGCCTGTGTGCATTCAGAAATCTGTGTGTGTGTATTCAGCAGTCTATCAATAATTAAAATGTTATTCCTGTGAGTTGTTGTGTAATAAGGGCCCAGTGCACTGCTTTGCCCGGGGGCCCTTAACGCTGTTAAAATGGTACTGCTTGTGTGTGTCAGTGAGCTTCTAGTTAGTGAGCATGTGTGTGTCAGTGAGCTTGTCTTTAGTGAGTTTGTGTGTGTTCCTGAACTTCTTTGTAGTGAGCCTTGTGTTTATACAAGTGAGTTTGTCTGTAGTAAGCTTGTGTGTGAGTCAAGAGAGTTTAGTCTGTCAGTAAGCCTATTTGCGCATGTCAGTGAGCTTGTGTGCTTACTGTGCAATATATATATATATATATATATATATATATATATATATATATATATATATATATATATATATATATATATATATAACTTGTAGGAATGGCATACATTTTTTTCCTGGACTGCTTTGGATTCCCAGGGATTCCCAATTTGGCTCTGCCAGCGAGTGCGCTTTACCGTTGAATCATCTGTGTGAGCTGCCACACACTTTAACCCTGTTACATGCATCTGGGAGCTGCTGTTGACAGGTACTAGTAGTCTAGAGATTGGGACAAGGGGTATATGCTCAGCTATCTGTATAATACTATAGTGCTGTTCTCTGTATAATACAGATCTGTGTGTGTATAATATCCCAGGATAGTCAGTGCTTTCTGTATAGTGCTGCTCTTTTGTATAATACAGGTCTGTGTCTGTATAATATCCCGAGACAGTCAGTGCTCCCTGTATAGTGCTGCTCTCTGTTTTGGGATGTTATACACAAACAGACCTGTATTATACAGGGAGCACTGACTGTCCCAATTTATTATACACACAACCCTGTATTATACAGAGAGCACTGACTGTCCAGGGATATTTTATAAACAGACAGTAATTGATAGCTGTACTGCAAAATGTCCTTGGAAATATTTTTCAAATGTTGACAACTATGGCACTGTATCAAGGGAAATGTGTTTGTTTTTTAATAATCCCTGGTGGAAAATAATGAATCATCCAACAGGGATTATTAAAAAAAACACACATTGTGTATGGGACGGGGCTTAACATGCGGCAGGGGCGGAGTCAAATTGTGGCGAGGGCGGGGTTAAATGTGCCCCCTACTTTTGTCCCTGCCCCACCATAGCCCCCCCTCTAAAAATGAATCCTAGAGACGCCACTGCTCCTAACTACCTATCTTCACTATTACACAAATATGTCCAGATTTGCACGTATCCATTGTTTATACTCGTACCTCTGATGCCCACCTTCAAGACTTTTCTAGGGCTGTGCCGTTCCTATGGATCTTTTTTCCATACTCTGTTACACTCACACCCAGGCTTGGTTCCTTAAACTGTTAATAGCTTTTCCATACATAAAATATATCCTAGCCCTAACTCTTGTGCCACTCTTGTACTCCCCTCCGTCTAGAATGAAAGCTCATTTGAGCAGGGCCCTCTACACCATCTGTTCCTGTTTTTATCCACCTATTGTACATCGCTGCAGAATTTGTTGGCCCTTTATAAATAATAATTCATTGCTGCCCTCCTCCTCCTTCAGTCTACTCATTAGATAAAAAAGTTGAGTAGTAGTTGCGACCAGACAAGTTTAAAGCTCTAATTTTATTAGTCGTTGGAGCTTCTTTTTAAAAGCAAATCTAAGGAAGAGCCACAAACCAAAAAAAGTTAGTTAATCTAAAGAAAGGATACTACTTGGACCATTTACTACTGTATTAATGTAACTGCTACTTTCTGCATGGCTTGGTATTTGTTTTTTTTATTGTTGTCAGCAAATTGTATTTACTGTGAAGTTTGTTGTTGGTACTTACTTTATATGTAATGTTGCAGCAATGTGTCAAAGGTCATTTGTAATGTCAGGAGACCTCAGACCAACTCTCTGCAGGTACTTGTTAATTGTTCTCATTCTGCAGCGCTGTCTCTGTCTTAGCAGTGCTTAGCAATAGTTGTATGGTAAAGTGAGATTTCTATTGCTACCTTAACTGCCATGTGAAATGGACTAGTGTAGTCAGTATTATGAGTTGCTGAAACTGTTGGATGTTGACCTGGTGGTAAGTTGGTTCTTTTAGTCATAAAATTAATTATTTATTATAATTATATACTTTGAGGGTCTATATGCGATGTTCAGATTTATCCACATCCATGTATCCCTGTGTGTACTTTTTAGGAAACCATCTGCATCGGTATTCAAAGGTTTTGGAGGCTCATTTGGGAGATCCGAAACCAAGACCTCTACCAGCCTGTCCACACCTGTCCTGGGCCAAGCCACTGCCCCTGAATGAAACTGCACCAAGGTCTGTAACATTTGCTAGAGTGGCTCATTGAATTGAAACACTAAATGCAAGGATGGAAAAAGCAGGGTCCTATGTATAGTTTTCCAATTTAGATCATACGGCCATTTTGCAAAATGTGAAGCTAGCTTACTTATAAATGTAGATAAAATTAAGTATATATTCATATTTTAGTTGTGTATATGTTACTTGTGCATCCCCTATGCATAAAATATTCCCGTTTGCCAGTTCACCATTCCATTTCCCTTTCTTGCTTTTGTGACAGTAATCTGTGGAAGCACCAAAAACTGCTGTCTATAGACCTGGATAAAGTGGCTTTACCTAACTTCCGTCAGAACAGACCGCAAGTGAGGCCACTGTCTCCGGGCGAGAGCGGAGCATGGGACATACCTGGAGGTTGGTAGTGAATACTTCCATGTTAATATCGTATGGCTTGACTGTGTCTGAAGTACACTAGTTGTACATAAGTTAGTTTTGCTAATTAACTTAAATATCAAAATAAAATAAAAATAGTGTCTTTAAAAAATAAATAAAAATAATAATAAAAATCCTCCCACTCTTTTCATTAAAGTGGCACTGTAGGTACCAAATCCACTTCAATTAGTTGAAGTAGTTATGCTTTTTCATATCCCTTTTAAAAGAAAAAAAGTCCCGTTTTGTCCCAAACCACCTGTGTTAATGTTTTTGGTTTTTTTTTATTATAACTATGCTTCCTCAATATGTAAGGCTAGTGTAGGGGTCCTGAAAAACACCACACTGGAGCTCTTATTTACTATACTGACAAATTTTAATCTAGTGGCTGTAAAGAACCAGAGTGCAAAATGTTTTTTTATTTTTTCTGGGATTTCAGTTGTCAGCAATATGAGAAAGCAAGCTTAAATATCCAAATCTAATTTTAAGTTAAATTTACACATGTTTAGAATTTGTTCGTACAGATAACATCTATTTTTTATTTCCTCTTACAGGAATTATGCCCGGGCGTTATAACCAGGAAGTTGGTCAGACTATTCCTGTCTTTGCATTCCTCGGTGCTATGGTAGTTTTGGCTTTTTTTGTGGTGCAAATCAACAAGGCCAAGAGCAAGCCAAAGAGACGAAAGCCACGTGTGAAGCGACCTACGCTTATCCAATCGTTTCACCAAACAAAGACTCCGTCTGTATGAGCAGAGCTTGGGTCTAGACTTGTGTGCAGGGAGAGTTGTGATGTGATCAGGGGCCACATGGCAGCTCTTAACTTCACCCCAAAGACAGACTTTTTCGAATGAACTTTCCTACAAAGGGAGAAAACAAATCTCTTACTGACCAAACATAATTGGTAGAAATTGCTCCTTTTTATATTTATTGTGTCAAGAAAAGCCCTCGAAAGGACTACTCTCTACCAAAAAGCATTGCTGGGTGAAATGCAATATTTTAGAAGGACATGTCATTGGGGCACACCAAATTCGCAGATGAGAACTTTTAGAATTACGTTCCCCCCCAAACCAGTGACTTATTTTTATAATTATCTCTGGACGTTTTGTAATTTTTGGCCGTTATCTTCGCCATTATGGTTGGAGAGCATTTTCAATAAATAAGCATCATATAATGAAGCACAACATATTGTCCCAGTGGTATTGTTTGATTGTAGTAGTAAAAACACAGATATTGTACTTTCTAAACATTTTTCATACGCAGATCATCACTGTGGAAGAAGCTGGCATTTTTGGCTTTTTTTAAAATAAGCCAAAACTGCTTTAATAGCAAGAGGAACACTATAGTCACAAAAACAACTATAGCTTAATAAAGCAGTTTTGGTATATAGGTCATGCCTCTGAAGTTTGACTGCTCGATTCACTGGAATTTGGGGGTTTAGTCACTTTTGTTTCTGTTTATGCAGTTGTGGCTGACATTGAGCAGTGGGACTGCAGGGGCATAATCTGTACACAAAAACTGCTTGATTAAGCTAAAGTTGTTTTGGTGACTAGAGTGCATCTTTAATAGAAAAAATGTGTATTGTTTATCAGTTGTCCAGTTTTTATATATAATTGTGTGTTAAAACAGTGGTTCACCAGGGTTTGTGGACCTCTAGACAGGTCTGTTTTTTTTTTTTGTTTTTGTTTTTTTTGTTTTTTAAATACTGTTTTATATATACAAAATGTTTTAAATGAAAATGTCAGATTGCCATCAAATATTCACTTTGCACACACTTATTTTTACAAAGAAGGGAATTTTTGCCATAAAACTAAGAACAGAACGCCATCTCTGTTGTAAGTATAACTGTTATGTCACAGTAGTTACATAAGTGATGCATACATGTGCAAGAATGATACAAGATGCATCGATTGTGCTAAATAACATTTTCATCTCAACTCCAACTGCTATCAAAATAAAAACTTTGAAGCAGCACGTTCTTACATAAATAGAGGATGTATCATTTAAACTTAAATCCATGCACATATCTGTGTTGCTCAAGCAGTTTTCTTTCAAACTTTCAACAAAATTTAAACCCTATTTGTTCATTTTTGACATGTTGCGGAAACAGTAATTCAGAGTTATAGGCAAGAATTCTCTAATGAGATAGATAGATAGATATATATTGTGTTAACCATCATATGCATATATATGTGTGTATCCATTACCTAAAGATGTCTAAAATTAGAGAAAAAAGAGAATCCTTCAGCTAAAAATAGCATATGTTAGAGGGACCGGAGAGAAATTTATAAAGTGAATTGATTGTGTCTATTGGAACTTGGAAGTAAGAAAATGCACTGGAAATACGATTATCTGTAAGAGGTTGCCTGACTCGCAGGAGATCTGAATTCCATAATTTATTGCCCCCCCCCCCCTCTTAAACTATTTAATCTACTTTGGAATGAATACCGTGTGAAAATCTCTCTCCTCTACATTGTGTGTGGGAACCTCCCCACACCACATCTTGGCATATTAAATTCTCTGAAGGAAGAGGTTAGTTGACCTGACACATGACCTGTCCAGTTGGCTTTTTCCCAAACTAGCAAATACTCCCTCTGCCTGGCACCTGCTGGGTCAGCAATCTAAGAGCTTGCGGTGAGCCTGACCCAATAAGAACATGTCTTATCAGCCAGTTGGATCTGCTCATTCCCAGAACCATATGCTGTGGAATTATATGGGTTCTTATAACAGTATATTGTATATATTTGAATGAATGCATTCTATAATGTTTCTGTAAATACATGACCTAATGCACTCTAAATAGCAGTGGTTTTCTAAACCAACATCCATTAACATCTACCTTCACCTTTGCTTACCAGATGAAATGTTGCAGATAGCACTGTAAGATTTTAGAGAGAGAACATACAACTTTGTCACTGGTGGATTAATGACTGATGTTGAATGATCCACCTGCATTTTCTAAAGTCTCCAAAATGTCAGGAACTCTGCTCAAGATCATTCAACAATGGATGATATGAAGTAGTCTAATTTTGTGTTGGTGAAATAGAGCTATACTGAAAGTTGGTGCCTGTAATAAAGGGAGGGGAGCTTGAAAAGGCTGCAGAAAGTAGACATGCAGCTTTTGCAATAGATGTTTGGGGTGTATATCTACTAAATATATGGTGGTATATCAACTAACTTCCAAGTTTAGCTTAATGAAGCCATTATGGTGCATAAAACATGTCCCTAAGTTCTGTCATTTAGGGTGTTAAATCACTTTGTTTTTGCAGTCCTATTCTTGGTTTTCTTAGCTGTAACTCTTACAGCATTCATTAAAAAATGCAGTTTTTTATTTTCAAAACCATCTCACAGCACAATTTGTTTACTTTAGAAGTCCTCTCCTGCTATTTTAATTAATTTCTAAAGGGACATCCCGGGCACCGTAACCATAACAGAAGTACTGTCTGAGGCTTCCTGAAGGAAGTGTAAACATTAGATCTATGTTTATAGTAAGGGTGTGTAAGTCACATGCAGGGAGGTGTGATTGTTGCTGCATAAAAGTGATTTCTGACAATCCACTGCTTCATTTAATTGAATTGGTTTCAGTATGTGCAGTCCCCTGGCACCATCTTTCAGTTCAATATTTAACCATTTCATTTTTTCTTACTGCTAAACGAGTCACTTGCAGTCCATACCCTCTGCTAATTGAGATACTGAGAAAGCATTGGCATCAGCAACAATGAACGGTAATGATTGGCTGAGTGTGTCAGCTGGCCACTTTAAGCTGCCCATTGGTGATGTGAAATCTCTGCCTTAGCCATAACTCCAATGGGGCCTGAGCTGTGGGTGGCCAGTGCCCCTCATTCAGTGTTAAACCACTTGAAAATTGTTTGACTGGATGGAGAGGCAATGCCAGGGGACTCCAAGCACTAGAACTGCTTCAGTGAGATCACATTATTAGTGTTACTTTAGTAAAAAACATTTTTTTAAATTGTTAGGTTTGTTATACACTCACCCCAAACCCTCATTCTACAGCCCATCCAGCTGCACCATTTTTTGTCAGCACAGACCATTTAAAGAACTTTAAAATTCATCCCTAGCAGGCATTCATAGCAGTCCCAGCAGATCCATTCCGTCTAGTCATGCAGCGGAGGCTCATCCATAGGGGCACTTACGGCAGTGTCGCACATGTTTATATATGAGGGAAAATTTCATAGAAGTAGATTAGAAACATGAAGATTCATTTTCTGGAGGGAAGGGTGTTAAATAATAAAAATTAGGAAACCTGTCTCTTTAATTCTGTCATGGGTTTCAGTTCTGCAGGATACCTCATTGGTAGTTGTGTGAGAAGCTTACTTGAGAACATCTAGACATGTAAAACAAAAATGTTTCAGCTGGATTTGCACATCCCTAGTGTCCTTTAAGAAGAAACTTCCATTGATTTGTAATTTGCACAGCACAGCCAACTGCCCATGAGGGGAGGAATCTGCTGGCCTCTCCTTTCAGAGGCCATTGTTGGCTCAAAGGACCAGAGGGTGGGGTTAAAGTGTTCACAGGTAAGAAGCCATCTTGGAAGTAACACAAAGAGAGGACAGTAACAGCTTTTGTACTCTGCTATATGTAAGTGTATTCTACTATCTTTCTCTCCCCCAGTAGCCCCAGTGTCAGAGGGCTGATTAAGCAAGGGAATTTACGTAAATGTATAATTAATATATAAAGTCAGGGCAACCCAGAGGGGAATAGGGGGGAAATGGGGGGGGGGGCTTTCTGACAAAGCACTGTGCAGTCTGTTACGAATAGTGTTAATAACTCCAACTGCACATACCCACCATCTTTTTTTTTTTTTCTTTTTTTTTTTTAAAGTGCTCAGTCACTCTACAGCAGAGATCTGAGACACTCATGCTGTGGCTACTTGACAAGATGTTAACTTTCCTTCTGCAGGACTGGGGCTGTGACTCTGAGGACTGATCTGGTTCTAATTTCAATCTGTTCTAATCTGTAATGATTGTTTATTCTGTTAATCATGTCTGCTACGTCTTGGCTCCAGATTACCACTGCAGATTGATTATATTGCCAATTGCAAAGGTTACAAGGAGTCTATCAGTATCCTGCTGCCATAACCCTGTATACACGGTGTACTGAGCACTAATAGTTGGTCAGGAGTAGCTGACATGGTTGGATTCCATCAGTATCTTGATTCTTTAACCATGTGCCCAGTATGTGCTGAGAGAAATTGAGTAGTTGACATATTTAATTACTGCAGCAATATTTAATAGAAAGCTAAAGTTATCCTATCAGGAGCTCTACTGAAGATGAGATAATGTAAGGGAGGACTAGGAGAGTGAGCTAAATCATTTTACATAGTCAAGTACTGTGTGGTGATCTATGTAATCCATCACAGTGATCCTGGCTGTGTGTGCTAGTTATGAGTATCTCCTTATTTTGTCCAGCTCTGTGTATTATTTCTGTTTTTTTCTGAGCTCTGTTTGTGGTATGGTTATCTCCGTATTGTACTCAAATCCCAGAATGTTAATATCTTTGTTGTGCCCAGCTTATTTTATTGTATGAGAAACTCTGTATTATGCTCAGCTCTCTTTATTGTATGAGAATCTCTGAATGTTTTGGGAGAAGTAAATGCAGGGGATGACGTCTGGCACCCATCCAGCTTAAATCTTTACCATCCCCTGGATCTAGGGAATATAGTTAACTCGGTACATGACATACCCACCTTTTACCCACTCTTAATTTGTTATTAAAGTTTATTATCAAAAGACAGAACTGAAGCGTGCCCCGGTATAGTTCCCAAATTTAAAAAAATAATAAAGTAAGAGTTGTGTATCCTTGACTACCCTATTCGAGGTTCTTAAAAATGTGCATTCCTCAACAAGGCAAAATGTCCTACAAGCAGTCTCCAATAAGTCTAGTTTGAGTTTATGGACCAATTCAAATCAGAATTGCAGGACATCTTGCTGCCATCTCATCTATAGGTATGTGATTAATTGATTAGCAAGTACTTTACACATCTTTTGAAAGTAAATACTTTAAAATAAATGGTTGCAGTGGAATCAATAGCATCTGTTCAACCATTGAGAGTCACAGGTTCAATTCACGTCAAGGTTCATCCTTCAGAGGTAGATAAAATGAGTACCAATTAATTGGGTAATAGTTACATCCCCACGCCCTACTTTGAAACCAGAAAATATCAGAATTAACCTTTCCTGGTTAAATAATTTATTATTAATGTTCTAGAGGGCATATTGCATATAGTGGGGATTCGGAAAGTAAAATGTTTAATTTCAGAAAATAATACAGATTGCATTAAAGGGTCACTCCAAACCCCTAAACAACTTAAGCTTGCTGAAAAGCTTTATATGTGAAGAATGGGTCCTCTTTTTATCATTTTACAAAAATATGCAGATTTCAATAGAAATTGACACTTCTATATATTAAACTGGTTACACCCACTTGGCTTTTAAGGAGACAATGGGTAATGTTACTTCTTGGTTTCGTTGGGTCAATGCAGCTGACCTCAAAAGGCAGCAATTGCCCAAAACACCTGACTTACAAAGACTTCTCATAGAGCTGTATTGGGAAGTCTGTGATTGGACAGCCACAGAAAGCCTGAGCGGGGTTAGAATAGGAGAGCTTGTAAAGGCAGCAAACAAGAAAACTGCAGGTTTTGCAAGCTGTGTTTAGATATTCCCCCCCGATTGGGAGAAAAAAAAAATGCATAATTAAATGCATGCAAGTTTTCATTTGGGTTATATCTACTAAATGGTGTGATTTTTATATATGTTGTATTTGGACAGTGGAGTGTCCCTTTATGTATAGCTGTTAATAATTAAACAACTTGAATATTTATATAACAAATTCGTAGGACTCAATGTTCAATTCTTAGTCAAACATGGGAAGAAATATTTAACATTTTTTTAGTACTAAATTTGTGTTAATTACATATTCCAGATACACCAAGTACATTGATCTCTCGCATCATTTTCTGAAAGACGAGCT